TTATTGTGAGAAATAAGAATTTGTGTTAAAAACAAGACCTATGTGGGGTTTTGTGCTAAGGGATTAAAGGTCCAAGGCATTTTGGAAACTTTAATGAAAAGAATTTCCCCAGGCCTCTTGGGGAGGCATTTGGCCTTGGTCCTTCCATTTCGGGAATTTCAAAGGCGATATGTTTTATCAAAGATTCGGCATTCCCGGCAATTTTATTAGTTCAATTTGGAAAGGGCAGGCTTTTTTGGCTTTAATTTTCGAATTTTAGATTTTCGAATTGTCCTTCATTTAAATTAGCAAGGATTTGGAAAAAGCGTTTAAGAAAAATCCATAGACCCCACCTGGGGATTTTTTATTTCTCCTTCAAGTTTCGGTTTTTAAAAGGATATTTGGTTTTTTCACGGGAGGGTTTTTTCCCAGTTTTGAAGATATTTTCCAATTCAGCAGTTTTTCTTATCTGATTCATTCATTTCCTTATACATTATTGCATCAAGTGAAAATTGGACCGATATTCTTTATAGTATCCAAGAATATTCATCAAATACATTCTCTTCCTTTTTTTCTTCTATAATGATTCTAATCTGGTTTATATTATCCAACTTCGTGATTTTAAATTTGTTTATTGCTTTAATTGCAAATAGTCTCGAGGTTCCTGAAGAGAAGAAAAGAGAATTACAGCTAGGATACTACCTTAAAAATGTTTATCCAAGGAGAATTAAAATGTACAGAACTGTTTCACTTATAGATAGAATAAAAAAAAAAATATTTAGACGCCCATCGACTCAAGATTCGAAGAATTTCAAAGAATTTTTAATAACAGGTTCAGCTATTATGAAGGCGAGGGAAACTGAAAAGCTTTCTAATGAACATACTGTAATGAATGATCAAGATATATCAACATACTTTAAGAGTATATCAAGATTTTTTAGAGAAAATATTAATTCTAAATTCAATTTCGTTAAAAAGAATCCATTTTATTATAATCCCAAAGTAATAATCACTGAAAGTGATTCTCCATTTGAATCTGGTATCACTGTAACCATAAATAATTTCCATGAAGAAAAATCAGCATACTTAAGGAAACATCCAAGGTTTAATGATTCGTATTTTATTTTCTCCCCAAATAATACTATTAGAAGGTTATGTCAACTTCTCGTTCCTTCAAGTTATGGGGAACGAATTGATAGCGAAGGACTTTCCCTTGATGATTCACAGATACTAGACAGTGGAGTGTTTGGCGAAATCTGTAAAGACTTATTTTTTTTACTTTCATTAGCTGTGACAATTGCATTATTAGTTGTTTCATGTTATGTTACACCACTTTATAAGTTGAAATATTCCAACGAAAATTTGAATTGGGTTGTTTATTTTGATATTGGTGTAACTTCATTTTTCACATTGGAATTCATTATAAAAACAGTTGCTGACGGATTTATTTATACCCCCAATGCCTATCTTAGAAATCCTTGGAATGTGATCGATTTTATTGTCATGGAGTATATGTGGATTGATGTATATAGCTCTATTAGAAGTGACAATAGTAATGCCAAAATATTTAGAGCATTTACTGCAATAAGAATTTTCAGGTTGATCACAATAAGTGATAAAGGAAAAGATACTTTTCATATACTAATATTCAATGGGCTCTCAAAATTGCCAATGACAGCATTCGCTTCGTTTTGTATCATTTTTCCATTTACGGTATGGGGCCTACACTTATTTCGTGGACACCTTGGTGTCTGTAACGATAATAGCTTTGGGTATGATGGGTGCACAAATGAGTTTTCAAATACAGTCTTTAAATGGTCCATAATGTCACCAAGAGTTTATAAGGAACCATATTTGTACTTCGACAATTTTGGGGTGTCATTGAAGAGCTTATACGAAATAATCTCCTTAGAAGGTTGGGTAGATTTGCTAATGGCGCTGGTTAATTCCACTGGCGTAGGAAAAATACCAATAGTCAATGCTTCTCCTGGAAATGCATTTTTCATTATTCTATTCAATTTCATAAGCATGGGTTTCATACTTAATCTTTTTGTATCTACAATAATTGCTTCTCATTCAACAAATACTGGTTTGGCATTTCAAACAAAAGATGAAAAAGTGTGGATTTACACGAAGAAATTATTATCTCAGGCATATCCTGAAAGAGTACCTGATACAAATAATTACAAAAATTTCAGACTGATGATATTTAATTTTGTTAATGGAAGTAACCAGTATTACAATGTATCTGTTAATGTAATTCTTTATTTCCACATTTCTTTACTGTTGTCACAATTTAACAATAACGCACAAGAAGTTTGGATCGTTAGAAGGAAACTTTATATGGCAACAACTACGGCATTGTTATCTTCAGCTTTACTTTCACTCTATGGTAATGGATTTCGAATATATTTCAAAAATAAATGGATGTATTTCAAATTTTATATTTTATGGTCTGCATTCCTATTCACTTTCATCTCAAGCTCATATGCTGATGATAACATTTCATCTAATTTAGCGGCTAAAGTCTTCCGTTCTTCTATTTTTTTATTTATTATCCCGCAGTTTGATGTATTATCCCAGCTTTCAGATATAGCTATTGCTAGCGGCCCATATCTATTACCATTAGCATACACTTGGCTAATCGTTTTTTTAGTATTTGCCATTACATTGAATCAGTTATTTGGATTAACAAAATTAGGACCTAACACAACAGAAAATTTAAATTTTAGAACTGTACCGAAAGCATTACTTGTTTTGTTTCGGTGCAGTTTTGGTGAAAGATGGAATTATATTTTGGAAGATATTGCTTTATCTTATCCAGAATGTACTCCGAATTCTATATTGGGAAATTGTGAATCCTCAGTTTTCGCTTACATCATAATAATTTTATGGAACATCATTTCGATGTATATTTTCATGAATATATTTGCGTCCATCATAATTACTCATTTTGGTAACGTTTATGGTGAAAGTAATTCTTCTGACAGAATAAAAAAACGACATATTCGAAATTTTACAAAGGCCTGGAAAAAATTTGATTTCTATGGTGTTGGATATATACAATTTGGAGAGATTACACCGTTTCTGAATTCATTCGAAGGACCACTAAGTTTCAAGAAATGGAGTAGCGAACATTCTATACATAACATTGTTAAAAACTATATGTTAGTCGATCCTGAAGATCCTTACAATGTGGATATTAATTTTAAAGGATTGGATGAATTATTTTCAAAACCCCAATTGATTAAAATTCATGAACGAAAGGAGACTTATAGGAAATTTTTACATCACATCAAATTTATAAGTGAATTAACTGGAAAAGTTGTATTCGCTAATCTATTAAACACAATACCCTTATACACTACTTTTGAAGCAAGAAAATGTTTAGGCATTGAGGAATACGTCAGATACTTGTTTATCATGGATAAGATTGATGAAATCATAAAGAGGGAAAAGATGGAGTTGTTGTATAATAAAATCCAAAACTGGCATTTTTCAAAGACAAGGAATAGTAAGAAATTAGAGGAAAATTCTAATCATCATACCAATATACCAGATAGCACCTAAACCACTCATAGAGACATAACATTATCTTAATTTTTATTAAAATGGACATTATTGTTCTAACACATTATACTTTATTTTGGGAAGAGGTCATAGTTTCCAAATACAAAAACTTAGTCATTTTTTATATTTATATTTATAAAAAGAACAATTTATTAAAACTAAATGCATATTTAATCAACTTTTCAATGTAAAATTCATTCCTCTGGCGTCTCTTATATTATGTCACTATTATCATATTTCTATACTTTTATCATACCTTTTTCTTGATCCCCCACATATCGGCACATTAGGGTTTGGAAATTAATCTGGAGGAAAGTATAAGATGGTTTGATTATAAATCGAAATCAAAGATTACAACTGAAGGGTATAACAAGGAAGAAAACAGGACCAAATTCTACTACAAAGAACATTTACATCATTCTGCATATACTATAGCATTAAGATTTGGGATATTTCATATTTTTTAAGCTTTTTATCGAATTTTGCATTCTAAATAACATTACGGTTCTGATCTGGTAGCTAGAACAACGGTTCATCATTAGAATCTTATTGGATTAAATTTTGTAATATATAAAATCACACTGAAATATAGGAGAAGGTGTGCCCCCCCCCCCCCTAATAGTTTAATTATATTTTATGGAAGAGCTTTTAGATTTTAATATTGACCTAGACATTTTTCTTTTGGATAAAGTAGTGGATGCTTTTTATGAGGGATCTGGGGATATTCAAACAGAGGCAGGCAATGTTTTATCAAGGCTACAGGAACACCCTGATTCTTGGCAAAGAACGGATAAAATATTACAATTTTCAACAAATCCAAAGACTAAGTTTCTGGCTGTATCTATTCTAGATAAATTAATATCGACAAGATGGAAAATGTTGCCCATTGAGCAAAGGCTTGGAATTAGAAATTTTGTTGTAGGAATGATTATATCCTTTTGTATGGACGATGAAACTTTTCAAATGCAAAGAAGTCTTATAACAAAGTGCAATTTTACCCTTGTGTCGATTGTTCTCCAAGAATGGCCTCAAGAATGGCCAGGTTTTATATCAGAGTTGATCAGCAGTTCTGCATCATCGACTAATGTCTGTGAAAATAATTTGACAATTTTAAGATTATTAGCAGAAGAAATATTCGAGTTTTCTTCAGAAGCTATGACACAGAAAAAGGCTGATTTAATGAACAGATCTATATTAAATGAAATTGTAACAATATTCAATTTTTCACTGAGTACATTAGTATCACCTCCATCAAGCACAACCATATCCATTGCCATAGATTGTTTAATCAAATATATTCCGTTCACCCCAAATAATTTGATTATAGAGAGCAATGTCATTGACATTATGATTGACAGATATCTAGTACCGAAAACATATAGATCTCTCACCCTAAGATGTATTACGGAAGCAGTTCAATCATTAGCTAAAGGAGATGACTTATTGTTAAAACAGAAGTTAGCTTCCCAATTTGAAAATATCTTAAGACAAGTTACTGCCGACATCTTTGAAAGATCATCAGACTTAGCTCACATATTCTTGGGAGGTTCTAATGAAGATCAAGAGTATTTTAGAGATTTTACGATATTTATAACTTCGTTTCTTTCAGATTATCGACCATATTTAGAAAGTGAGATACAATTCAATAATTTGTTAATTAATGCTCACTTAATTTTGGTTCAATTGACTAAGATAAAAGAAAAAACACTATTTAAGATCTCCTTAGATTATTGGAGAAGCATGTTGTTGGTACAGTACCAAGAGGTTCAAAGTATACCTGTTATTCAATTGTCCCTAAGTGCTAGTGGTGGCGCCGTTAATCCATCATTTTTAAAACGATTTCCACTAAAATTAAACGAATACTCTAGATTATACTCAGATCTCCGGTTGACTATTGTAGATAGAATGGTTAGACCTGAGGAGGTACTAATTCTAAAAAACGATGAGGGAGAAATCTCGAAACAATATGTGCAAGATACCGAAAATGAGCAACTATTTAAAATAGAAAGAGATGTCCTGATTTATCTTTCACGTTTTGATATTGTAGAGACTGAAACTATTTTACTTCAAAAATTGGATAGTTTATCTTCAAATTTAAAGGTTGATCAAAATAAGTTAAATCAGCTATGCTGGGCGGTAGGTTCAATAGCTGGGGTCATGTCGGAGGAGTCAGAAAAGTCATTTTTACCAAAGGTAATGAAGTACCTTTTAAGCTTATCAGATGATAATATGAATCCTAATGAAGGCATAATAATAACTTCTAATATCATTTATGTAGCAGGACAATATCCAAAATTTTTGAAAACACATTGGAGTTTCTTGAAAACCGTTATCCTAAAACTTTTTGAAGTCATTCACGAACCTAATGAGGCTATCAAGGATATGTCCTGTGAAACATTTTCTAGAATTGCACTCAAGTGTAAATCATCATTTCTTATAACTCATCCATTCCAATCCACTCCACTAATAAATGAGATTATTGGTGACATTGGACAGATCACCAGTGATTTAAATACAAGTCAAGTTCAAAGCTTTTATGAGTCGTGTGGGATAATTATTGGTGATGAAAGAAAAGTATCACAACGTAACTCACTTCTTTCAGATTTAATGGAGTTACCAAATATTGCATGGAAGAGTTTGATGACAACGGATAGGAATGCTGATTCCCTATTTTTGGACCCTGAAAACTTAGTAGTCATCAACAATATCATAAAAACAAACTCAGCTGTATGTTCTGGTATGGAAGAAGGCTTTTACAGCCAGTTTGAAAAGATTTTGGAAGATGTCGTACATTTATATGGCTTCAGCACAAAATTTATAGAAAGGATAGAAAATACTTCAAACAATGCAACAGAATTTGAGGATAATATTAATATCTTGAAACTCCTCAGAGGTATCAAAAGGAACATTTTGAAACTTGTTAAATTATTAATGAGGAATGTTCATAATCAAGAGGAAGTATTAAATTTCATTAACTCTGAATTTCTGGATGTTGTTTTAACCGATTTTGTTAAAAGTGAAAATGAAGTAAAAGAAGTGGAGGTATTAAGTTGCATGATATCTCTAGTATCTTCCACAAATGTGACTATTTCGGATTATGTAGATAAAATTTACGATGCTATATTTTTCACAACCCTAAACATGATAAAAGGCGACTTAGTAGAGTACCCCGAGCATAGAATTGAATTCTACAAGCTTTTGGAACAAATCAATAAAAAATACTTTAATACATTAATAAAATTAAGTGACCAGAAATTTAAGTTATTTATAGATACAATATGTTGGGGAATCAAACACACCAATAGGGATATTGAAATTAGATCCCTTCAGATTGGATTGGATTTAATCCATAATATTGAAAAATTAGGCCATAATAGAGTATTCTCTATTAATTTTTATCGTGCACATTATTTAACATTACTGTCAGAAGTATTTTATGCTATGACTGATCCAGATCACAAAGCTGGGTTCAACAGACAGTCTTTACTTTTGATGAAATTGGTGTCACTTATTGAAAATGGTGCATTATCTGTTTCTGTTTTCAGAAATGATGATATGGAGCCAAGGATTTCAAATCATACATTTTTAATAGAATATATGTCCAATTTGATAAACAATGCATTTACCCAATTATCAAGGGAGCAAATTATTGTATTTTTGTCTGCCTTAACTAAACTTTATGATAATAAGAAAAGATTTAATGGTATACTTCGTGATTTCCTTGTACAAAGTAAGGAGTTTGGCGGTGATCCAACGGACTATTTGTTTGTAGAAGAAGAAGATATTTTTTCAGCAGAAGAGAAACTAAATGAACGAGATTATAATCAGCGTTTAAAAAGTTATTAATTTTTTTTTCCATATTGAACTAATAATGAACCAATTTATATTATTTATAACTTTATTTTTAATGAATTTGATAAAGAGAATGTAATTCAAAGACTTTCAAAAGTTACTTCTACCCTGTATTAAAAGTTTTTTAAGTAAACCATCGTTTCTACGTAATATGTGGATTTTTTACAATAACTGTAAAGTGACTTCTATTATAGATTATTTAAATTGTTACATTATAATTATGAGATGAACCTAATTGTTTCCTTAGGTCATCATGGGTACCACTATGTGGTAAAATTTCACCAACACTAGGTGGCTGTTCGACATCAGTAAACTCCAGTAAGCCACTGACCCTTGCTTTATATGCTTGCTCGCTTGGATGCAATTGTGAAACTAAACTGTTATTTCTGGAGTTTGCACTGTGTATATTTCTGAAAGAACCCGCAGGTTTATATCTTCCTGTCATTGACAATAATGACGGATCTGTCATCACAATACTTTGCCTTAATTGATATGGTTTTGGCACATCTACTTTGCTCATATCACCATAGCTTCTTCCTTGTTGTTGGTAGGTGAATTGTGAATCTGATGTTTGAGTGTAAAACATTTCTGGATGATCCATCGGATTCAAAGCTGTACCATGCAATCTTGCAGTATTTAACTGAACTAATTGATTCCTTTGTTTATCTTTAAATGATGTTAACGAGTGAATTGAATCAGAAGGCATTAGTTTCAATTGTGTTGGTGTTGGAAGTTCCTCAATAGATTCTAATGTTTGAGGATGGTTAAATTGTTGCTCATGATTATAAGAATATATTGGTTGAGTATTTATTGGAGATAAATATTGCTGATGGTGTCTTTGAGTATCGTATGCATTATCATGAGCTTGATAAGTCATGTTCGGGAATTGAGGACTATAGATATTGATATTTTGAGAGTGTTGAACATTTTGAGGCTTTGATATTTGCTGAGAGATTCTGGTACCGTTTAAATTAGGAAGTTCAGAATAAATTGAAGAAGCAATTCTTGAAGCCGCTCCTGCCGCTTGAAGTTGAAGGTGGTCTTTAGAATTTCCAATATCTAATGGTGCTAACATGCTGTCTGTAATTGTGGCCTTACTGTATCTCTCTATATGATCATCACGTCCATCACTTCCTACAGTCGAATCTATAGTTACTTCTGACTCAGGATATGATCTATCCATTAAGTTGGAGGAACTCGAAAAAGTTTCAACGGTCAAGTTTCCTTCATCATTCATTAAAGTCGGATGAGGATATTGGTTCTTTTCAAAATCTAGAGAAATTTGATCCATTTTATCTTCGACAGTATCACTTTCAAGGTAAACCTTATATACACTTTTTATCCTTTCAACGACCTCTTCTTCTTCTGTATTTATAGATAGACGGTAAATTTTATCCTGATCATTGTCAATTCTGGAGATTGGTCGTTGGTTATCTTCAATTATAGCTCTTTGATCCACTTTTGTTTCATTAAAAATTCCATCATGAGAACTAATAGTAGCAACAACAACAGCAGCAGCATCAAGAGTAGTAGTAGTAGTAGTTGTTGAAGTTGTTACAATGTTCAAATTTGAATTATTTTTAGACATAGTCGGCCTATTAATGGAGGTATCGTCATGTAGTAACGACAAAGAACTATTATTTCTTGAAGATACCAAATTATACCCACCAATTAAAGAATCATGTAATTTTGCATAACTTCTAATAGAATTGGATTCTATGCTATCTGGTAATTGAACAAAACTTGGATTTTTCATCTGATTCAGTGAAGTCGAAGGATCACTGAATGGATTAGAATTGTTACTACCGTAATTTTTTTCATCAGTCCCTTTGAAATCTATCGATTCAGAAGAATAGTCATTGTGTTTCATAGACAATGGTTTTGGTTCGGTCATATATGTCAAATCACCAGCAAATTCTGGATCATCATCCTCCTTTTCCTCTTTTTTACTTCTTTTGTACACTATGAATAAGATAACAAGCAGTAAAATAACTACAACGCCGACAGGGACACCAACTGCAATACCTATAACTTCACCATTAGAGTTTTTTTTTTGACTAGTGGTGGCTGAACCACTAGCTGTAGATGAACTTTTTGAAGAAGTTCCTGCTCTTTTAAACAAAGTACTTGTCGGGATTTCATTTATTGAAGATGGATATATTGTCGAAGTAATCCGATCATTATATTGAATGATGGTCATTATAATTTCACAGTTATTGCCTTTCGATTCCTTTCAATGACAAGAGATATTTCAACAATCCTATTCCAACTCACGATTCGATCTTTCCAGTCACTATTCCTTACAGTAATGCTTTTTTTCTTTGAGTATATATTTATTTTGCCTATCTTAAGATGAATTCTTAATATAATAGTATCCAGTTTAAAGTCATTGCAATATATACTTCCACTTCACATTATAATTTTCAACTCAATTCTCGATGTATTTATTATCGATTTCTTTAGTTGAGAAATTGATCTTGGAAACAAGGACACGGTAATACTACTGTCTTCAATATCTCAAGAGCTACGTTATTCTGTCCAAAAAAAAAAAAAAAAAAAAAAACTAAATAAAAGAATAATGTTTTGATGGGGATTGATATCTATAACCTGTACAACCTTGACCTTGTTGGTAGATGGTTTATTCTTTGGAATCATCTACTATGTCTATCTGAAGCTCTATCAACTTTAGAACACTAGCGGCTCTGCAAGAGAAAGTACAGGAGTTAGTGAATCCACATCAATAAAACAGATAAACGCGAAAAAAAAAAAGGATTCCAAAATTGAACTTTTCTTCATGGATCTAAAGGAAAGACGCAAAAACGATAAAAAAAAAGTTTAAATTTCTTTTTTACATTGGGTTTTCAGTTTCATGTTAAATTTTTCGATTTGAAAAAAAAAAATGGAGAATGTATAAGCTGAAAAAGAAACGCAGAGAATACACGAAGAAAAACGGGAAACGCGAAAAAACCAGATACAGGACGTTACTTTTCATTTTCGACAAGAAAATTAGGACATTTTGTGTTTTATTTTACATCTCACTTTGCTTTGCTAGAAAAGCAGTTTTTCGGACAAATATCACGTGAATGTTTGAGGTATCGTTTTTATTTTTAAAAAGTTGTCTTTTTGAGACAAACTTAGACAGAATTAGGGCATCGAGTACACTATTGGTAATACATTATTATTAGGGTTATATCCCAAAATGATATAAGTTAATACGAATTATAAATGACACCCTAATAACGTATGCTTGCAAGAACAGTGGCGCATTACCTTGGCGTTATCATATTAAGAATATTTGATTTGATCTTAAATCATAGAATACATATAGCCATTAGATAAATTTATCCGAATTACATTAAAGTAGTATATCAATGTTCAGTCCAAGCTCAATGATTTGTTACTATGTACTCATAGTAAATATATGTTGCGAATAGATTTGTTGAAAATGAAGTCACTAAACCACAACAGAAATACAAATTATTGAAAATGAAATTACTTCATGTAACTGTGAGATACAATTACAAACTGGTTCATAGTTTTGAAAACCTATGAAGTAGAGAAAAAAATGTTCCAAAAAATATTGAGAATACATTAATGACCAGCATTACCTGTAAAGAGAGACAATACCCGGATGGTTCTGGTAAAAGGCAAGAACCATGTTCGATACAAGTAAAAGTAAGGAAATCAATCCCTACATTTCTTGATATTGATCTCCCATCATTTGAAATGTATCCTGGTTTATTTTCCCATTAAAAAAATAAACTAAGTACCTGTAATGTAATACTTCAAACTTTTACATAGTTCAAAATATCTTGTTCCTTTTATAGTTTTTCTTAATTAAAAATTTTCATTAGTGAAGGTAAAGGAATAGAAATGTCGTATTTAATGATAATAAGATCCAACTTATTAAAGTAGGGTAAATTATCCTTTAAGAATAGTCTAATTATATATTAATTACTGAAAGCTTGAAGTTTAATATAAATCAATAGATTTTCTAAGATTGCAATTATTTCACAAAGTTTATATTTCAGCACCTAAAATTACAAATACTTCAGAAGATCGATTTTTACTACGTAATTCTCTTAAAAAATAAGCAATGAATAAATGTTGGATAGAATTCGTGAATGGAATAATTGTATATTATAATAATGTTAAATAAAATAAATATAATAAGTTAAAATGATGATATGAGGTTATAATGCTACAGTTTCTAATTCTTTTTCAATATCTTCAACAGGGTCCCTTAATTCCTTGTCATCTTCATCTTTAGTTACTTTATCATTAGAATTGTCGGTGGTTTTATCTTCTACTTCAGTTTCAGCTTCTTGTTCTTCTTCTACCTTTGGTACTTCTTCTACCTTTGATTCTTCTTCAACCTTTGGTTCTTCTTCAACCTTTGGTACTTCTTCAACCTTTGGTACTTCTTCTACCTTTGATTCTTCTTCAACCTTTGGTTCTTCTTCAACCTTTGGTACTTCTTCAACCTTTGGTACTTCTTCTACCTTTGATTCTTCTTCAACCTTTGGTTCTTCTTCAACCTTTGGTTCTTCTTCAACCTTTGGTACTTCTTCTACCTTTGATTCTTCTTCAACCTTTGGTTCTTCTTCAACCTTTGGTTCATCAGCTTTACTCTCCACAGTTTCAGGTTCTTCTTTAGATTCTTCTTTGATTTCTTCAACCGGTTCTTCTTGCTTAGTTTCTGTAACCTTAGAATCTTCCTTTAAGTGTTCCATTGGTGTCTCAACAATGGTATCAGTTTCTCCTTGTTCATCTTCTTGTTCATCCTCTGTGACTATTATTTCATCATCATGATAATCTTTAACCTCTTCTTTTGAACTGGAATGAATAACATCAGAATATGGAGTGTTATTTATATTCACAGATCTACTGTTATTAGTTGTTGGATTCTTTACAGCAGGTTGGTATTGATGTTGTACCTTTTCAGGTTTATTGCCACCAGTGTACTTCTTCACAGATCTTGATTTCAAAACTTCCATATAGTCCTGAACTGGACCGTTTGATTTTTTATCTCTAAATACTAGTTCACCTTCACCATTCAAGTAATCATCAGTATCGTCGATCAAATACCAATTACCTGCTTCTAAATCGTTGGCAAAAGATAACAAGAAATTACCCCAGTTATCAGCAACGACATATTTTGTATCAAAATCTCTACCAAAAACGATAATCTGTCCATAAGAACCTTCTGGACCCGGTGCTAAATCAACACCAATATGATTACCAGCCATATCTGTTAACAATGGTATCCAAGAAGGATGAGCATAAGCAGTTTGAATGGCGTTTGGAGGTACTGACTTTTGTTCTGGAATATTTGGCAATTTAAAATGATTTCTTGCATCACTATTTTTGTTATCCTTTGAGCTACCAGATGCAGAAGCAATTTGTTCTTCACGTCTCTTGATATTTTGAGCTACATTTCTCCAAGTTTGCGCCATATGAACAACTTCATCTAAGGTCATTAATTGTAAACCATAGAACAGACCAGAAGTACCTGTAATCGATTCCAAATCTTCTTGACCATCGTGAATTCTCATAGATGCTCTTACAGCAGCAGGGAAAGTAATATCCAAATCTTCTTCTGCATTGGCAATATCATTTCTTGTACAAGGATCACCTAAAGTAGCAAATAAATCTGCATTATTGTCACTTGCCCAATTATCTATATGTCTCCAGGCCAAAATAGCTTCTGATACACCATCGTTATCATGATTGTTCGAACCATCAGGACCCATATTTTCGTTCATTTCATTATTATTTAAATCGAAATTACCCATTTCTTCATCGACAAAACCATTCGAATTATTTAAATGAATCTGTGAAGGGTTAGCATTTTGAAAATTTCTATTTGAATTATTACCATAATTTGATTCCTCACTTGGATTATATTCAGCATAACGATCTTCTGTACTATAAGTATAGAACAATTCTTTAAATTTCTTTTTAAACAAATTCATTGTGTTTCTATATTCTTATACTATTAATGAAAACAATAACTAACAAACAAACAAATAAATTTATATTTAGATTTGAATTGAAGTCTGATAAACACACAGAAAACTGAGAGCAATAATATATATATATATATATGTATCCTTCAACGTTCTTCTTATTATCGATATATAATTTTGTTTAATCCACTAAGAACTGAACCAAATTAATAATACACACGATCTCAAGTTTGCACCAAGATCGAATCTATAATTTTTTTGTAATTATTTAGAACTAAAAGATAGTAACCCAAAAGCAACAACAGTAACAATAGTGATCAATCCTAGCTCAAATAAAGAATACAGAGATAAATTAATAAGATGAGAATTAGTATAAATAATTGTACAATCGATAAAAAGGATATATATAAAAAAAATGCTTCAATATACAAATAAGAAATTGTGGAGTGTAATATATGTCAACAAAGTATATTAAATCCAAAATGAACAGGACGTATCCAAGAGGTTAATAGATACGGCAGTATCCACTCGATTCAATCCACAAGGTGAAAGTAATAAGATCAAGTAAAAATAAAAATTCAATTACAATTACAACTACAACTACAACTACAACAAGACAATAATAATAATAATAATAATAGTTGGATTAAAAGTGACGAAAGATGTGGAAAGCAAAGTAAAAAGCCTTGGTAAGATGGAGACAGACAAAGAAAAAGAGAAAGAGAGACACTGATTTTAAAGATTTCGAACATAGATAGATTAACCAAAATATTTCAACAAGCATTCAGAGAGGGAAAAACCGGTTAGCTAACAAAGTGATAATGAAAATGAAAATAAGTGGTAATAACAGCAGTGGTAGTTTGTTATAAATAAAATCAAATCAAATCAAAGCTAGATCAAACATATCGGTAGAATATCCCTGAATAAGAAGAAAGTAGTTTCGAAGAATTAGTAAGTAATTAAGTAGCACATATGGAAATGGTCAAGTCGAAAATGAAAATACAGGTGAAAAGTATCAACTCACAAACAAATGTTAGTATAAAATTGAATTGATTAGAATATGTATGTTTTTTTGTATGTATGAATGCAATTATTTTTCCAGTGGGATCAAGAATAAGAAGTGCAATGAACGAACTATTAAAATAAAATAAAATAGTTGATCTGGGAATAAACGCGTAGCTAGTCGAAGAAAAGTTTTCTAGGTTCATTAATATTTAAGCTATACTTGCCTGACAATTGGTTAGCTTAGAGAACTTACCTGCACACCGATGGTAGATTAGATGAAGAGGAAGATAATTGTCTTTCAGGTTGAATTTGAAGTGAGTTTTGATAATTTGGTAGTTTGGTATGGGTAATAACTCAAAGTTGAATTCGAATTGATAATCTGTTTTTTTTACTTTTTGGACTAACAATAATATACTAACGGAAAGAAAACAACGTAGCACATGAGACTTTAAAAAGAAAAAGGATAGATATAATTTCGAAAAGCAAACACACAGGAGATACGTTTCTTTTTCTTTCTGGACGATGGATAACTTGTAGCAGCAGTTTCAGTAGTTGGTGAATGAACGTCGAGAAGATCAGACAATTGGACAGGGAGATACCCAAAAAAAGACAGTTGGTAACATAAGTCTCCTGAAGTGTGTATTTTGGCCGTAAGAAAAGTAGAATCAGATACCCATGAAGTTCTCGATCTTACTGTTGAAAATGAACTTTTTAAGTTGCTCTACAATAGAAATTTGAAGGTGGAAGTAAGGAAAACGCAAACACCCACACACATACATTTTGAATTCAGCTTTTATGTTACTCTTTTTTGCATGCTTTAAAGTGCAGTTCAAATAGAGACTTGCTATTTTGGTGGGTCAGGTGAGATGAGGGGTGATCTCTTTACCAATTCTTAATTAATATCAAGGGTTGGAAAAGAACAATCTGATAGATAATTAATTATATCATCATTATTACAATGGTGAGATTCTGTCAATGATTTAAGATGAATAAGTGTAAAACAATGATGCAAGTTCTTTTTTAAATACCTAATTATTTCCAAACTTATTGATGTATACAGAAACTCAAAAGTAATAGCGTGCTTGAATCAAACTAGATACGGTCATGTGATATCAAAATCGATATCACATGACTTCTTGTACCACGTGATATATAGTAATGTAATCTAATTATGAGAAACTCGGTAACATTGAATAGAATTACTCTCTTATACATTCTTCACTTAATCAACATATTAATTTACACCATTGTACCGTATTTTGGTTTTCTAAGAGAAGAGCTCAAAGTAGAATTACAAGCAATACAATAAAACATCAAATGGATTAACTTCAATGGATTGTAATCTCACCGTCATTAGATAAATTAATTTTTCTGAAATCAAGATATTATTTCAACAATACAAAGTATAATTAGAAATAATAGTAGGGCGATTCCTATCTATCATTGGAATTTAAAACACAGCAAAGCAGATTGTAATTTATTAAATCTATGCTCTATCTATAGAGTTAACCTAGAGCTTCTCATAATTAACAATTCAGGGTTTAAACAAATAAATTATTTTGTGTGAAGTTTATTTTCATTTGCGGGTAACAATTTGTAGCTGTTCTTTCTTTTTTTTAAGGGTAACCCGAAGAAATCCGCTGTTATCTAAAAGAAATTTACGTAGAAACACTGTTAGTTCCTTTCTGTTACCGCAAAACACATTCTTTTTCTCATGCTATTATCGTAAAAGAATATTACCGAAGACAGGAAAGAAGAAAGAGCATTTCCTTTCTTAGGTATACTGATATGATTTCCTGTTTGGGTAACAGCGCTAAGTTGCATCTGTTATATTCCATATATGTTATCCCGATCTGGTAAAATGTAAATAATATATCACTATAAAGAATTTTAACTTTTTTCGAAACCACATACGTCAAATTGTTTTCACGTAATTTTCTGCCAGAAATGAGGCTACCTTAAATTAAATGCTTAGGACATATTATTACAATGCATTGAACAAGATATATATGCATTGGTTTCTTAAAAACTTTGTTTAGTTCAATCTCTGGTAACTGACTTGAATATTTGCTATTGGAAATATTTCTAAACCTAATCTTTACCTATGTCCTAAGAAAGAAAGACAAACAAAACGAAAATTTTTTTTTCTGTAAATGGCATAATTTTTTAGTTTAATAATGCATTTGCTGTTCATTCGTTATCTTATATATATATATTGAATTATATTTGATATAAAATTAACATAATTGTAATATTTGATAAATTTATCTTTCATTACTTTACATTTTTAAAAAACTTATTCTCAAGATATCTAAAGGTATCAAGCATCATAACATCTCTATTACTAAACTTTCTTGTTGACCGAGAAAGAATCAGAAGTTGGGTAAAGTTCATTTTAAGTAGTTGTACAATATACTAATTTGATCTTTTTTTTTTAACAAGGATTAATATATATTACATATTGTTTTTTTATCTGAAGAATATTTAATTCCTTGAACATACTAATTTAATTGATATGGCTAAAGATAATAACAACAACGATTACTTAAAAAAAGATATCAAAAATAATTTTATAAAGAAATCATCTAGCTCAACTTTAAGTAAAGAAGCAACTACTATTTCATTACAGAAATCAATATTTAAAAAAACTAATACTTTCACAAGTGCCATTCAAAAAAATAAAAATCAAAACTAAGAATGGACAAATAAACGGCAAATTCGAATCACCAACTGATAGACTGTTATCACCATGTTCACAGAAGTTAAATGATCATAAATCAAAATTATTTAAAGTTAAATCTGCACCAACAAAGTTGACTTTTGCTCCAGATCGTAAAAATGATTCTGATAAGTCAGATGACAGCGATGCTAGTGATTATTAAATCATAAAAATCTGAAATAGATTGAAAGGTTAACATGCCAGATTAACTTAATTAATAATACTCCCACTAATACCCACATTTTGTTTCTGCAATAGTCAAATATTGATTACATTAAAAACTATATTCATTAAAAATAAACAATATTAAATAATATCATTTAGAAAGCATTATGTAATCAATTATATACATAGTTTTATATTTATATATAACTTAAAGATAATATAATAATGATTTTTGCAATTTTTTTGCTTATGCACGAATTTTTTTTTAAATGCCTATTGATCTATGGAATTCTAATTTTGATCCAATTAATGTACCATTGATATCATCATTATGCAGAACGTTTTCAGATTCAGATTCCAAAGAAGCTATTAATAATAAGCCATTAGACCTAATTGTGCTACCAATTTGACTACAAACTTGGAGCAACTCATACGGTAAAATAATTCCAAAAAGATTATTATTCGTAGCATCTCTCACAATCTCACGTAAATAGTAATTTTCATGGTTTGTCAAATTCAATATCTTTTTGTTTACAGCCTCACTCTTTAGATGATGAGCAGTATCTGTTACAAATTCATCTCCTTCACGATATAATACACCCATTCTATATAATACAGCAAAATTAGGTTGCTTCCAATTTAATGAAACACACGCTTGCTGATTACTTGAACTGAAAACAATCGATCTCAAGTCTTTACCAGAATGACGTAAATCACGAACATGGTCAAAGACGACTAATAACACTTTATCAATAAATGAATTCAAATCATGTAATGGTCCCATTTTGACGGGAATTTCATTAACTTCTTGTTCAGTTGGATAACAGAGTTGAATATCTAATTGGATTGTATTATCAATTTTCGTTAATAGTTTGTCTAGGGAATATACCTTAGAATTCAACAGAGGAATCAAATCCTCAAAATTATTGATCTCCGGAACATCTTCAATGTTATAACTTAGAAAACTTTCTAGTTGATTCTTGCTCAAGTCATTCATAAATATTTTAATGGTGCCAATAGTAATATAGAGCATAGGTGTCACTACGATTGTACCATCATTTAAACTACAAACTTTCAGTGATGCATATCTTCCAATCAACGACGAGGAAGTCACAAACTGATGAAGATCCTTTTTTATTGTCATATCATTACTTGTAGATTTCCAATATGTTTCGTACTTCGTAATTTCCAAAGGTTTGACATTGCAAGGATAGACGATTTGATATTCAAATATAAATGATCCTATATTTGTCACCCTCGAGTCAAACATCGGTAAAATCAATTTTCCACATCCATTAGACAACTTCTTCGTCAAAACATTTGACATTACAGTGGTCTTCGCAATTAATTTTGTTCCATACGAAGGAAATGTCTCAAAATCAACTGCAAATTCATCTAACGAATCTATTTGGAATACAATTTCACCATCTTCTTCATTTTCTATAGGAAGAATTATATTTCTAGGGAAGGAACCAGGTAAATTTGAGGTTAGAGTAATTCTCCCAGGTGGCAACGTAACAATATCATCGTCACTGTGAATCTTAATAAAATCAGAATTTGGTCTTAGAATGATTTTAACGAACACTTTGTTTTCTAGGAAATTATGACCATATTTCCTGAGCGGGATAATAGGTGGCGGTAATGTAAAATCTGGAATATCTCCACATGAGTCAACTGGGCTCATTGAAAAATCCCCTGTTAACAACGGCTTAGAATTAACCGGAAGAGCCTTTGGATCGGTATCCGAATTAATTTTAATTAAGACATTGAGTACATCAACATGACCTTCCCAAATGGCATAAAACAAAGGTGATCTATTCTCATCATCAGTTATATTGATATTTGCTCCATTCTTAAGTAGCTCTTCAACTGTCCCCTTATGCCCTTCTTTAACAGCATAGAAAATTGGAGTCCATTTATTGAATTCGTCAAAGCCGTTTGGATCTGCTCCATGCTGAACAAGTAATTGGATCAATTTGGAGCTACCACCTCTTCTGGCAACAACATGAAGATTTCCTAAACCTTCATGGTCAAAAGTAGATTTCAAATCGATGCTTCCCCTTTCAAGAATCATTTTTGCTATTTGGTAATTATTGTGATAACAAGCAACAGTTAATGGAGAAAATTGAGGTTTCGAAGTTTCTGTATTCTGAGGAGCTGGATCAGCTTTACCTTCTTCTAGCAAAAGTTTGACGATATCAATATGATTTTTCACTATTGCCAGAATGAAAGGAGTTCTAGAGTCTCTGTCCAAAATATCTACAGATTCTATTAATTTTGTTTCTAGTAAAGCTCTAACGAAATCTGATTTTCCTAATTCCGAGACATAATGTAGAGGTGTTCTTAAATGGAAGTCTTGAGCATTTATCAGTTTCATTAAAAGATCTTTAGAGTCAGAGAATGTTTTAAGCATTTCTTCTAATACGAATAATCTTGATTGTGTTGCGCATCTTGCTGCTTCGTGGATAACATTACGTCTTGAAAATACTTGATCATTTTCATCATAATAAGAAAGATCAATTCTATCATTAGTTGTACTGAAAAAGATCTTTAAAGATTCATCGTCTAAGTCACTTTCAACTAGTAGTAAGAAAAGTTTCGTTACAGCATCTTTTATGATGTTATTATTCTTGTCATTACTTTTAATTGCCTCTGGAGTTTTGTTGATGAAAGTATCTATTTTAAGTTTTGAAAAATTCTCTAACATTTCTCTTTTTCTTGATTCATCTTTAATGTTTGCTATAGTCAGCAGTTCTTTAAACCATGTTTCTATCTCTGATTCAATTTCAAGTTCAAATAGTAATTCTCTTTCCAATTCATTTGCAATAGAGAATTTTGAAAAAGGGCCAGTTAATGCAGTTTTACTTATGGTTGGATCTTCTGAAGTTACTTTTGCGAGTGTAGTTGTCAATTTTGATAAGGATTCTTTCAAAGATTTATTTTCATCATGTTCTATTATCAATGGGTTGTTAATGGTTATATTTTTGTTGTCTGTTAGATCCACAATCTCTGTTAAATTTAGGTTATTTGTATCTTCTAAATTAATTGATAAAGTCAACAGGGAATCATTTAATTTTGGTATGTCATTATTTGTAAAGATTGGTTGTATTGATATTACGGTTGCGAAGTAGAATTCCTTCTGATGAGAATGTGATCTTTTATCCCATTTTTTCAGAGCCTTCATGAAACCGGTTCTGTTAAGTTCTACGAATTGTTCTAGATTGGTTAAATCTCGTTGTAGTTTTTTAATACCTGCTAATAAATTTTTATAAGAGACTGAATCCTTTGTTGTCAATTTCCCATGTTTTTTATAATCGTCTAATTTTTTTTTCAAAATATCGAATTTAATATGCAGATCTAATTCTTTTTCCAAATAGTAAGAGTTTACTTTTTCTAATTCTCTTTCCAGCTTGAAAAAATATGCTGATTGGTTTTCTTGTAATCTTTTATATACCAGTGATTGATTTATGTCATCCAAGGAATGAGGATCTGTATTTTGGTCGTCAGTCATTGTCATTGTAGTCGTTGTGTTATTCATCTCTGTATTAGATGCATCGTTTGAGTCAAATGAGGGAGTGTTGTGGTTACTATTGGGTATTGATAGATGTTTGATAAGTTTTTTCAATGCTTTGTAGTCTATGAAATAGCCATTGTGTTCAGGCAATTCGACTTGTCTTGCTTCTAGATATTTGCCGAATTTCATTTTTTGTATATGAGCAGTTGTGATATATTTGTTATATTTTGTAAAGAGATTAAAAAATTGGATTAAACCGAAATCTTATGGCCAGCAGTAGTAAGTGGGTATAAATATAGATATATATATATGTATTGTTGGGTCTAAATTTGGATATAAGTAAGTAAGTTTGTTTCGTTGAGGTTTGGTAAAGCCAAAAAAAACCACACACAGACTAATGAAATATAATATATAATTATACTGAGGAAGTGAAAATAAAGAGGGAACGGTATTAGTAAAATAAAATCCAACAAAACCTGTAGTAGAATGTAATTTAATTACTCATTCGATCAGATACGAGAGGAAGAATAAGTATGGATGGGATATAGGGTAGGTATAGTTATAAATGGGTAATATCCAAGCAGGGTTGAGAAACAGTGGATTAGGCCGATGTGAAGGAGTTAACTATTCCAAGTCAAAGTCAAACTTAAAGTTAAATGCAATATATGCAATATATGCAATATTCAAATGCAAAATGCAAAATGCAAAATGCAATATTCAGTATTCAGTATTTGAATTCGAATTCGAATTCAAATTCAAATTCAAATTCAAATTTAGAGATATGAAATATGAAATTGGGATTCGAAATAAGCAACGGATAATCACGAGGATATAACAACGATGAGCGGAAGAAGTACGAGAGAGAGCGAGAGAGAGAGGGAGAGAGAAGACGATGAATACCAACCCATACAAACAAACAAACAATCCCAGAACAAAATTTAAATATATCACGATACCCAATACCAATACCTACCTATACCGATTTTGAAGAGATAAGACGTACAGACTGCCGGAAAATAGAGTATTTAGCAACTTGATAACGACAACGACAACGACAACAAAAAACAAAACAAGACCATCCCATCCTGCCCAGGGGAACATGAGCATTAACACATGAGCTGCGCACGAGCATGAGGGACTTGCCCAGAGAATATCTCCCGCCGTTTCTTTTTCTTGCTTATCTTTTCGATTGGTAAAGGAAAGCCCACCGCACGACACTTTCTCTGCTGGCAACTTGTTTTTTACGGGCCATGGTCTGTCGGTAGCGCATTTTAGTTAGTTGATATTTTGTTCTTGTTCTTGTTCTTAATATTGGACAGACGCACGTGTCTCATCTAATACAACTACAACAACAACAATGCAATGAGTGGCAAGTTACAAAAAGACACAAGCACCACAAAAATATCTCTGTGCTTGCTTGCTTGCTTGCATGTGCTTTTTGTGTTTTTTGTGGTTTTATTTTCCAACTTCAGCTCAGTTTCGTTGAGGATCTTGCTGCTGCCAGTCCAGATCCTCCAGCAGCTCCTGCAAGCTGTGGTACTCGGACAACACCACACCCATATCCTCATCTCTGCTAATGCCGTAATCTTGAAACAGTTTCAACAGTATCCGCTTGATTATCCCTTCATATTCTACACCATCACTTGGCGGCGGCGGCGGCGGCGGCCGTGGCACTTCCAGCAATTTGAGGCACCCCGATCCTTCCTCGTCTGCGGTGGCCATGCTCTTTAGACAGTTGTACAACGTACTGTTCTCGTGGATGTACCTCTTCTTGTCGCCGTTCTTCCCCTCGCTGACAAACACTCTCACTCGCAAGTTGCCACCGCCAGACACTGCCAGCTCGTCAATGGCCATCTGCAAGAAATAGTCCCAAAAATACAACGGGTAGTAGCTCTCATACAGCGAGATGTTCACTATTCGGGCATCATCCATACCTTCCACCTTCTCTCGGATCAACCTCGCCAGTTCCAACACAATCCACTCTTGCACTTCCTCTTCTCCCAACCCTTTGTTCATCATGTTGTGGCAATCAACCTCATACACCACCATGCTGAAGTACTCGTGGTGGATGCTATACTCAGATATCAACTCCATGTCTTGAATACACAAACACACCTCTTCTTCTTCTTTCTTGCTCTCGGCGGCTAACTATCTTTCCAATTTCTCAGATCCCTGCTTCTTCAACACCTACAGATACACACTCGCAACTATGAGATGTACTAGACAAACACCAATTGCTGTCCCCCATCCCCTCCCAACAACAACAACAACAACAAATCTGCCAAACAACAACATCCCATCCCATCACATCTCATCCTTGTTCTTTGAAATCTAAACTTACCTCATCTCCTTTTATACTCCTCTTCTCTTCTCTTCTCTTCCCGCCCTTTATTTTGTTTCCCAACCTTCAATCGCATTCCCTCCCCTTCCCTTCCCTTTCAAAACCAGATTACATACATCGGCCGAGACGCGTAAACTTACGTGATTTTTATCATTTTCGAAAGTTTCGTTTACAATAGCATAATATAATATAACAATATATATCAAATTTTGGCGTTTATTCTCGATGACATCTCTAGTTGTTTCAATTGATATAAATGTGGTTATTATCAACAACTGACAGTCGCCGGAAACTGAATCTGAATCTGAACATAGCATTGCTTGTGGTATTCCAAACGTAAACCAGAATTTCCACGATTTTTAACACGTTATTTAACATGATTAAAAAATCAAAGCGATTCGAACACCTACATTTCGTCATCGTAATAGAAAATTCAAATGGAATACATAGAGCAAGAAACTTAAAAGAATTGTTGCAATTACATTCTGCTTCTGGTTGTACCATCATCGACGTACAATCATTACAACTATCGCACAAGATATCCAATAGAAATGATTTTATAAATTTGTTCAATGATTCAAAAATTCATTTCATTATTAGTGAAAATGTTAATTTCCCATTTTATGAAATAGCTAATTCCGATTTCTTAATACCCGTGGTCACTCCAGACTGGATCACGCAATGTATCGAAAGTAATAGAATCGTGAAAACTACTAATTATTCTCCGGATCCTCGTCATATACTAAAGGATTGCACAATTTACGTCTCAAGAACTGTATTCAATCGTACCGAAAATATTCTATATTCAGAATTGATCAATGCACTAGGTGGTTCGGTATCAGATATGATCTCTAATAAAACAACACATTTGATATCATCCGACCCAACCGATCCCGCATTGATCGCAATTGTGGCTTCGGATTGCCACTCAAGGATAAAACAAGTATATCCTGCCTGGCTATGCCAATGCTTTCTAGAGGTTAAGTACGTCGACGAAAAAAATTTCATTCTAGATTCATCTTTATCGCCGGAAGATGCTGAAGAAACTTTAAATGATTCTTGGAACTTACTAGGGTCCATCCAACCAACTACAAAAAATAAATACTTGATCGATCATAATTTCATCATTAGTATGGATTTAGCTTTGGATAAAAATCTTTACAATTTTATAATCAAAATAATAGAATCAAATGGTGGGAAAGTAACCAGACATATCGATGATGCAGATTTGAAAAATCCGAAAAATGATTGTTTTATTGGCGACACAGTCAACTCTAAAGAATACCAAATATGTTCAAAATTAAATTATAAATTGGGTAATATTGCTTGGATTTTCTATATGTGGTCAGTGAATCAGTTTATAGATCCATGTTCAAAATTAACTTTAATCCCATATAAAAGAAAAATGTTCGATAAAAATCAATTAACTTTAACTTTTACAAACTATTTTGGCCAACAACGTTATTATATTCAACAGCTGACAAGATTTCTAGGAGGTACTAGTACAACCGAATTATCGAAAAAAAATACACATCTGTTGTTTGGATTCCCATATGGAAAAAAATATGAAACAGCATTAAAATGGACAGATAACTGCAGCGTCGTGAATCATCGTTGGTTAGAGAACTGTTATGAAAAGGGATCAAAATTAGATGTCACATTAGATGAATATAAGTCCAACAATTGTAATGAAAAATTATCTACATCTTTAGGGTTACTACAAAATGGGGATGCATTTGAAAAATCGATAATTGAACCAATGCCAATTTGTGATTCCACCCCGTTAGCTAAAAGTCCCAATAATAGTTCACAAGTTAATGAGCAAGAGAATGAATCATCTGATAGTATGTTAGTGCCGAAATATGGTTCTTCTCAAATAGAATTGAGAAAAGAAAATATAAGAGATAGGGCGACTAATACTGAGACATCGGATGATAAAGACTATCCTGAAGAATTTCTAAATTTTTCAAGTCAGAAGTCACCAGTTAGTAGCCAGTTAGGGAAACCTGACCAAGTGTCAGCAACTAATGAAGTTCAATCCAAAAATAATGCAACTGGAGATGCTACTACAACTATTACATCAATGCAAACACTTAATACACCAGATAATTCAAGAGAGCCTTCAACTACGCAATTTGATAATGAAAGTTATGATTCACAGAGAAACCAGGAAGATGATACTGACACTGATGCTAAATCAACACCCCCATTACATTCTGGTAGAGCGGCAAAGCAGAAAGCGGCAAAAAGATTGCATACTGATATTGAGTCTCTAAATGAATTCGAATTTAACAGAAAGAAAATGAAGAATATAAGTTTACTACCTGAAGAAATTAAAGAAATGGAAGAGAAGGAGAAATTATTAAATAAAGCTTTGTTCCTATTAAACAAGGTATTAGATGAGGAATCTATGTCCACCATTCACCATGCTAGAAAAAGTGCAAAATATATTAATAAATTGTTTTATAATATTGATGCGGTAACAACTGGCTGTCTGGATGAAATATCTGATTTAGATAGTATAATATTATCCCTTTTAGGAATTCGTCTCTACGAAGAGATTGATTTAAGTATCAAACTAAATACGGTGATTGCCCCAAAGCAAATGAGAACAATTAAATTTTTAAAAGCAATGGCATTTAATCCACTGGAATATGTACTATTACCAAATTTTATAAATGAAATACTAAAACTGGTTCATAAAGGGGAGATGGCCGAATTTAATTTTGATTTTGGCCAAGTACCGAATCAAAGACTTTGACAGTGAAAAATTGAAGAAAACTAGATCTAAAGCAAAAATATTTGAACGCGCATTTATTTCTGACGTAAATATATCGAGTGATATTCAAGGTGGAGTCGATATAATATCTTCAATTTTAAGGGCACATGGGATTAAAAGTTCTAAATCCGTTAAGGATAAATTCACTGATGAAGATGTCTGTGAAAATTCAGCTTTTAATGAATACAAGATAAAGCATAAGAATAGGAAAAAAAATCATTCTCTTCCTCCTCAATATATATTGATATCTAATAATCAAGCACAAATAAAACGTTTCAAAAAATTAATACTGAACGGTGACAAAACCGGTGCAATAATTGATTGGAATTGGTGTGTTCGAGCAATATTTTTGTTTGAAGTGGATTTTGCCAATAATGAACCGATATGGATGAGTTAACGAAATATCTCAGTATTTGTTTGTAGTAAAAATTACTTTGAATATTCACTTTTCAATCCAAGATAGTGAATATTTCCATTTCTTAACTATAAATATAGAACATAATGTTACATTTTGATATTACATGCATTATATAAAGTTTATAATATCTCTATAATTGCGAAAGATCTAATGATAATAACTCTTTCTTCATTGATAATACTTCATCTTTTAAATGGTCTCTTTCTTGGGAAATAACATAGAGTTCTGCCTTCAACCCATTCATATTTGAGTTGAAACGAGATTCCAGTAACTTTATTTCTTCATTTACTCTGGTCTCATTATCTGAATCCAATTGACCTGAGCTACCATTACGACTAACACGTAAAGAATTAATTTCTTTTTGTTGTTTAGTAATCTGTTGCTTATATTTTCCCAAATCCACTTGTGACGCCTCTAAAGACTTGCTTGTTTTAATTAAAGAGTCTAACCCCGATTGGTATTTCTGTTCAAGTTGTTTCAGAATTTTATTTTTATCTTCTAATTCATTATTTTTTAAGTCAAATTGCTTTTGAAGTGTCTCCAATTCATCAGTTAATTCTTCATTTATATCTGTGACTTTTTTATTTTCAGATAGTAGCATTTCTAATTTAGAATTTAATTCAATAATTGGGGATTTGGTTACGGAAGAATTAGTAACTTCATCCTCCTCTAATGTGACAACTGTCTCTCGTATTGATTTCTCTCTCTTCCAATGCATAATCAATTCTTGTAATTGGGATGAATATAATTTTACATTCTCATTTAACTCAGAATCCCTGTCTTCTTGTAATTTAAGTTTTTGCTTTAATTGTTCATTTTCAAACTTCAAATTTTCATTTTCAACTTTTAAATCCATTAACTCTTTCTTTAAATAATTTGAGTTTGAATCATTTGCATCTTTAATCTGTTGTAATTTCGTATTTTGACTTCTAATAATTTTATTTAGATTGTCAGTATCCAAAAATGCTGACCCTAAAATATTTTCATTTGCACTTAATTTACTTTTTAGTGTAATTACTTCTGACTCTAGTGCACTATTTTTGACCTGTAAATTAGAAATTTGATTTGGATCAGAATTATTTTTCAATTCTGATACCTGTGTTTCCAATTCTTTGATATAATTACTTGCTTCTAATGCTTTGGTTCTGGTTACATTCTTAATATTTTCTAATTCGGTCTTTAATTGTTTTAATGAATACTTGCTAAATGAATCATTTGAGGAATTATCAAAATCGGACTGCTTAACAAGGCTTATTGAGCTTGGCTGAATAGTCTCATCTTGGTCGATACTACTATCTTGAATTTCGGATCTAGAAAGTTTAGAAGGCTTTGAAGGTGTGCCAAATTGATTAGATCCCCTTATGGAATCACCATCCTCAAAGTACGCATCAATATCGATAGTATAATCTAAAGTAGAAGATAATCTGTTTCCAGTTTCAATTGATGCATTTGAGGGAGATGTAACATGGCTTGTAGTATAGGTATTTGAAGACTTCTCATCAGCTAATTTATTTGCGATTGAGCTTAATGCTAATACATGAGGTGGATTTGGTGTTGGTAATTCTGGGGTTCTAGAAAGCAACTCAGGTAAAGGAAGGTTGGGAGCCGGAGAGGAAGGCTTCATCAAATCTGACATTGCTCTTTTGTGCCCTTTTGCATCAGAACCGGACCCAGAATTTACGATTACCGCAGATTTTAGATTTGGAGTCTGTACATTATTCATAGTATTTGGTGTATTGACACCTTGAGGGACATATGGGGTTAATATATCTGGGAATATTTGTCGTTGATTTGTAATACTTGGAGTATTATTTCTAGATACAGGGTGGTTCTTGTCTGGAGTCAAATTATCCATGCTGTTATTTACAATACTGGTTTCTGATGCAGAATAATATATGTTATTATTGAATATGCCTGGACATAGTTCTGATAATTTCGATAGATCTAAAGTGTACATGATTGTTCCATTGCCTAAATCTGAATCGGAAGTGTGGAAATCATTTTCACCAGGTCTTGCAAAATCATTCTTATCACCACTCAAAATTAATATGCTATCATCATTTAATAAGGTTGCAGTGTGTCCCGATCTACCTTGCATTATACCTGGATTTATATGAGGTAATTTAAACCATTTTAAAGTATTCAAATTTAGGAAATAAACAGAATTCATATAGTTATCTTTTGAATCTTTACCACCTACAACACACATTAAATTTTTATAAACAACTGCAGCGTGTTCTTGAATAGGGGGAGGTGAAGATCCAGTGGTTTCTATTACAGACCAATCATTCACAATTGGATCATAAACGAATACTTCATTTATTAAACCTTGCAAAGTTTCACCACCGAATACCCATAATTTATTGTCGTAAGAGATCATAGTATGGTTGGAAACCGGCGGTGGGAAGAAACTTTTTGGTTTAATAAATTCCCATTGTGCGTCAGGTTTCCTAAAGGTAGATAAATCGAACATAGATAAATCATTAAAATATGTATCATCGAATTGACCACCGAATAAGAATAACTTTGTCTTTGTTGGCTGGGTAGCTATTATTGAAATTTTATGACCATAACGACCTAAGGGACGCAAACCAATTGGTTCTGGTATTGTCCACTTGTAAGAGTTCAAATTGAACAAATATAAATCATCATCCATCAAACCATCTTCATTAACCTTATGGGTGTCTCCACCGAATAAGATCAATGCGTTACCACATATGGTCGAAGCATGGCCCACACGAGGAGGAGGAGTAGTTGGTGTAATTTCGATTGAGCTAGCGCTGAAAGATTTATCATCTTTATGGTTAATTGACCAGACATCGCCATAAACCGATTGCTCTCGCAAGCCACCTATTATGAATAAAGTATCGTCCTTTGAAGCATGAGATGAGGCGACATGTCTGTACCTTGGGAAAGGAGACGGATTTAGTTTAAACCTGTTCCATGGGGTATATTCATTTTGAGATAAATTAGTTGCGGCACCTGAAATATTTCTTTGGTTTGAATGGTTATTTTTAGTAGTAGTGCTGTTAGCCTGTCTAATCCTTGACATTATACTATAATCTTTTCAAAATTACAATAGGATAAGGAAACGGTGCACACTAATACATAAATGAGTGGGACAGGGTTTGATGATTGAGTAGTATGAATGGTATGAATTAACATATATTAATCATTAGTGGGTAATAATATAATCCAGGTCCACTAATTAATTAGAGTTTTAATACAAGATCGAAAAATTGTGTATATATAAAACATCGTGATGGTCTCATCTGCGATGGGAGAGAGAGAGAGAGAGAGAAAAAAAAACAGAAGAACAAGATACCAAATCAATTAGGCACAATAGATGGATCATCGATGAATGGGAATTGAGTATCCTGTATAGTGCATATAGGGAGATACCACCTACCTTGTAGTGCGTAACATTAAGAAACCTTAAAGAGATGAAAAATAAAGTTTGGATTTCTGTTGAAGATGTCTTTAAATTGGGTCTTTCTGCTTGTCTCTCTCTCTTGATCTCTCTTTTTTTTTTCTCTTGATCTCTTTGCCTGAATTTTCATGAAATTTTCCCAGAATGGGAGAAGGATAACGAAAAGAAACGGTTTTCGATTCGAATTGAAGGTTTGTATTGTATGTATCGACAGGACCTGAAATCATCATGTAATTAAATACATCAAATGAAACGAGGAAAAAGAGTAGGTGGATAGGTAGATAGGTAGATAGATACCTGTAAGTTGTAGTGGGTTCTTGGCTGTTGTTGTTGTTGTTGTTTTTTTTTGACTGGAGGGTAGTGAAGCTAAGCAATATATTGAAATGACGTGTGTTCATTAGTTTGTGTGTACGCTGTATATCTTTTTGCACGGCATGGCATGAGATGTCCATGTCTTGACTGGAACTGGATTATTGTATTAACCTCTTGCATTTGTCTGTACTTCTAAAATTAGAATTGGACATACAGAGACAAATCTGGTGCGTGAGCTTCTTTGGTGAGAATAAGAATTTAGGACATTTCAAAACTTATTTTTTTTTCTTCTTCGTCTGTCTTGTAGCAGTGGTTAGATTCTGACTTTTTGTCATATTCCACGATAGCGGCATGCCGTAACAGAGAGAGGTATTATTGTCTGCTCTGTACTTTGGTTTGGTCCCAAAAATTGAAATGAAAATATACAATGCTAGGTTTAGGGAGGGTAACGAAAAAAGCTGATTAAAAACCAGCATTGGGTAAGTTCATTTAACATAATCACATACGACAATCATTCATAGAGCCTCTAACGGTGGCCAGACCAGAGCAGTGACTGGGTGATATAATTATATGATATGAAGTGAAGTGAACTGCGGCTGTTCTCTTGCATTGCAACAGTACAAACACCAAGCGACAGAGAGGGAACGGACCCAGCCACCATACCATACCATACCATATCATACCATATCATATCATTTCATTTCACACACACGATGGTACCTTTGTGTTCTGGCGTGAGTCTGTCTGTGCTACGAACACCTTTACATCACACCACTATACTGAGTACAACAGACACACCCATACCTCGCGCCCATCTACCCTCCGCAGTCTCTTGTGGTCATTCGGTGCAATTAGTGATAACGATATCCGATGCAGTATTAGATGGAAAGGTAGCTGTAGCTGTAGATGTAAAAGTGTACATGTTACTCTCTGATCTCTCGTTACCAAAAGGAGAGATCAGCATGAATGCGGCAGTAATGAGAATGGCATACAGAGAGAAATCAGTTACGAGATGAGAAGTTGTTGAAACTAAAAATAAATTAACACAGAATAGAATAGATTAAATTTAATTTTAAAAAAAATGACTAAAGCCAGTTGGTGTATATGCTAGCAGCAGTATTACTAAACAACGTATCATCATCGCCGCCGCCGCCTTCACCGCCAATTTGCTCTTGCTATTGCTCTCCCCTCTCGTGCCTCGTAATTCTTGAACATGAGAAACGGTCACGAACTGTTCCTCCCGCTGCCGCACCGCAGAACACAACATAACAAGACATAGCAAAAACATGACAAAAGAACAATACGAACACAATTTTCTTTCCAACTCTCTCAGCCAAACACACGTACTAAATTCCATGTCATTCAGTCATTTACTCATGTGCCCAATTTTTATCACCATTCTCTCATTGATGCATTACGTTTTCGCTCTCTCTCTCTCTCTCTCTCTCTGTGTCTCCCCCCTCCCTCCCTCCCTCGTCCTCCCCAATCCACCGGTCGGTCATATTACTTTATATATATAACCATGTTCTTAATCAACATATTTTTCTTAATATTGTCACACACATACACTTGAGTTTTTTGTGGCAGATAATGATTTGCTCTGTAGACTCATCCATTCAACCTTAACCTATCTCTCTGTTTCTCTAATATATATTAACTATATCCCAATATTAAGAGCCAATTTGCCCTTGTAACTCGGAACAAAGGAGAAAACCCAAAAACATAAGGAACTTAACACTAACAAATAATCACATCAATCACAACAATACAAATAATATATACAATGTCAGCTATCGGAATGGCCTTCAAGAGAATTTGGGCTAGTGAAACTGGTCCAAGAACTGTACATTTCTGGGCTCCAACTTTGAAATGGTCCTTAGTCATCGCAGGTTTAAGCGATGCTTCAAGACCTGTTGAAAAAGTATCAGGTACCCAGAATTTATCTTTACTAGCAACAGGTCTCATTTGGACAAGATGGTCTTTCGTCATACGACCAAAGAATATGTTGTTGGCCTCAGTCAACTTCTTCCTAGCTTGTACTGCAGGCTACCAGATTTCAAGAATAATAAACTACAGATTGACAAACGGTGACAGTATGTCACAAGTTTTCAACTATATCATCAATGGTGAACAATCTATCACAAATAAACCTGTGATATCGAATAACCCATCCACTCCACAATCTGCGATTACTCATTGATCGATAATAACGAATATAACAAATATAACAAAAAAAATCAAACACAAAAAATAAATCTGAAAACAAGTAAATGAAGGAGGATGGCAAAGAAAAGAAGTTGGCTCTGGGAATAATAATAACCTCCAGATTCTTACTTCTATGTTTTTTGTATTTTTAATTAGAGTCCTTCTTCAACTTCATAATGTCCAACCAACATCTCATCTCATCTCATCTCATCTCATCTCATCTCATTTGTAATGCATATATATATTCCGTCTGTGTTTTTTATTATTATTCACTATCAAATTAAACTTTATTTTATTTATTCTATTCATTTATATTCTATTCTACTCTACTCTACTCTATTCTATTTAATTTAATGTCACTATATTTTATAGTCTTTTTTTACAAAATCAAATGTATCATATTACAAATTCAGCTATATGCATTCATTTTTATGTTGTTGTTTTTTTAAAATCCTTTACGTTTTTGCTTCTTGATATGGGCCTGTAACACTTTTTGTTTGTCTCTTAATGACATCTTTTGCTTACCAGTGACAGATCTCTTATGAATCATCATAACAAAATTCTTTTTTCTCTCCTTTTCACGGTTAGTTGTAGATCTAGCTGCACCCTCTCTCTTACCACGTCTACTACCAAACTTATCTCTACCTTCTCTACCTTCAAGTACCTTGGCTAATCTTTCTTCACGAGTTTGCTTATACTTGACTGGCCCAACTAATCCACTGGCATCTACTACTTCTTCGTTTAATTTAATACCCATCTTCTTAGCAACACCTTCTTCAGTTCTTAGTTCTTGTAATTTAGCAAAATCAGCTGGTGTTAAAATTCTACTAGATGCTAATTCCATAAATGCATCTTTACCAGACCCCTTATTATCATTAGCTTCTTCACCTTTGCTTTCGGCTTTCTCATCATCACTCAATTCTAAATCAGATGTTTCATCTTCGCCCATATCAACATCGTATTCTTTATCACTATCGATACTGACCCATTCACCTTCGATTTCCTCCGCTTCACTACCTTCTTCAACTTCCCATTCTGCATCGTCTCCTTCTTCTCCTTCTTCTCCTTGATTGTCACGTTTCCACTTGGCTAGCAATTCAATACCAGCAATACCTTCAACGTTATTAGTTTCAACACCAAATTGTAATTTCTTATGTTCTTTACCTTCACGTTTGGCTTCTTGCATCTCTATCGATACTGTCTTACCACGATCTTTTCTCTTCAACATCTCAGGCGCAACCTCTCTATATAGAGAAACTAATGACTTAGCCGCCATGTTGACACCTTTAGCCTTTGAGCCACGATATTCAACTAAATCTTGTAACAATGTTTCATCAATGGCCAGTGGTGCTCTCGAGCAAATTTCTCTAATAGTATTTAAACCTGCAGCTGCAACTTCAGATGCAACACCATCAGAAACGAACTCATCTGCAATCTTACGTACTAATATTTGTAACGTTTCTGGAGGAACCAAATCGTGACATGCCTGGGCACTAGCAGCCATGATCTTAGTGACATCTCTTTGTTTAGGTGTCAAATATTTTAAGAAAAAGGAATATATACCTAATACCATCAATTTGTGAGTACCAATCATTCTGGAGATCAATTGCATTAACGATATTTTTTGTTCCATATCAAATTTATTACTGCTCTTACCAGATAAATGTTTTGAAAATAATTTTTCAGAGAAACCTTGAGGATCTCTTAGTAAATGCAATGCACTGAAGTTTAAGTGATTTTGGCCATTGTTACCAGCATTCTTATTCTTCTTTTTTACACTCTTCATAGCATTTTCAAATTTCTTACCACGCTTACCACTCTTTTTGTTAACTTGCATCTTATGTCTCAATGAATCAATATCAATATCGTCATCATCAGAATTTTCTTCAAATGTTTCTTCTCTTTCTCTGTCAGCGTCAAGGAAAAATAATACACCAGAAATGGCAATTTTAACATCATCATGCAAAGCTGATTGTGTCATGATTTCAACAGTTCTTGAATCATCCCAAATACCACGTCTCCATAACTCTCTAGTCAATCTAGCGGCCCAAATACCTTGAGAATCTGGTTGATCTAGTAAATTGAAGCATACAGCTTGTGTAGATTTATTCAACTTTTGATTTTTAGAACCAGTGTTACAGTTCTTCAACAATGAAATTAATGCATTATATATCAATTTTCTTAACTCACGAGCATGGGAGTTTACACCAAGTGTGTTAGCTTGGGCAGAATATGCAATTAGTAATGGGAATAAAGTTTGAATTAATTGTTCTGCTGTAATAACACCTTTATTTCTTAACATCATCAAAGAAGTAATAATTTTTTCCTTTAGTTCGAATGGCAAAGATTTGTGATGTTCTAAAACTAATTGTTTTAATTCATTTGGGAAGTTAGCTGTTTCTTTTGGGAAACATGAACAAACTTGAGATACGAACCCGATTAATTCCATTAATTGAGAAGTTGAAGTGGTAACACTCCCAGACGAAGATGAATCGATAGCGGAACCAGAGGTACCATTTTCACCACCAGACATACCATTTAAAATAAATATATCTCTTAGGGATTCATAATGAGCATATTGCTGTAAAAATTCTTCATGATATGATTCAGGATCACGTTTAACCAAGTTTTGTAACAAAATAATATTTGTTGGCAGGATAGCTGCTCTACTTCTCCTAGCCATCTTTTAAATATATTTATATATATTGGCTGAGTGTTCTGGTTTTCAACTAAAATTCTACAGTATTCTTCGGAACTTATCAAAAGTATATAAATTTAATTCAACCATTTTAAACTACATGTATTAATACCTCTTTATATTGATTAAATTAATTTCGATGCGATGAGATGAGATGTTTCTGTAAAATTTTCATATTTAGCTATTGCCCGAAGATAATTCCGTAGCAAAGGACAGTTTAATATAGGCGATGAGGTAGAAATTGTGCATACAAATAAATATAGACAGATTTAACCAAACCAATACATATTAAAGATGTACATCATATAATTATAGTGGGATGGTTAATTGATTAATTTAAGGATGTTATTATATGATATAGTATTACATAGTTCATTACATATTGGAAATAAAAGAAAAAAATGAAATAAAGATAAAGGTTGAAAATATCAATAGTAAGAACTTTAAAGTTGAGCTCATATAACTACGAGGATCAAACTTTTATTTAGGATGCTGTGAGCCATATGGCAATGTTGTTAAGTGAGGAATGCAATTTTAACAGGTTATTATTATAGATGATTAGATCATATTAATTGTTTTTTCTTCTCATTGTTTATTTGAATAAACCATCGATAGCGTCATAATTGATTTTTTTTGAGAAACTAGCTTTTTGTAACATATTTTTAACACTATCGGCAGTAGTTGATTCGCCATTTTCCTCTGCATACTTTAAAGCAGCTTGTAATCCATTTGGATCTAATTCAGCAAGAATTGCTTCTTCATCATTTTCCTTTTTGGTGACTTTCTTTCTAGGTTTCCTTTTCTTTTTACCAGAGGTATTACCTGTAGCTAAATCGGCTTCTTGTTTCAATCTTTTACTTTCCTGTTCTAATAAGAAATCACCATTTAACCCAATCCAAATTCTTTCTTTCAATCTTGAGGCTTCTTCATCTAGAAGTTGAGCGTCTAATTCTTCGTCATCAACGTCGTCTAGGTTATCAGGATCATCTTCTACTTTGGCCAGTAATGAATCGGTGGTAGGCAATAAATGAAGATTTTTTGGTCTATATGGATCATTTTCTAATGAGTAACCATCAATTTGATCTTGGAATTTAGAATTTTCTTCTTCTTCTTCGTCATCGGAATCCACATTGACACTAATTTCGTCTGTTTCCATCTCAGCGACGCTTCTCTTCTTACTATTATTATCTCCATCAAGTGCGTCTTGACTACTAAAAACATTAGAATTATCGATACCATGGGTTGTTTTTATTCTATGTCTTACTTGCTCTCTTTGTTTGGAAAACTTCTCAAGATAAAATAATACTTCTTTTGAGGATAATCCTTGCTCACCTAAAACTTGTGTTAAAATTGGATTTTTACTTAATGCCTCTTCACTAGTCTCATATAATTCATCCTTCTTCAACTTTTCCTTGATTCTCATTTCATTTCTTCTATTTTTAGTAAAAGATGGTGGTTGGGTTGACGGTTCTGAAGAATCACCTTCTCTGAATTCCTTGATTGATAATTTAGCGGACTTTGTATTTTTGAATTCATTTAAACGTTGTTGTAATGTTTCTTCTGCAACATGGGATACAGCAACAATTTCTGAATGGGTTCTTCTCAAATTATTCATTCTACATGCTAATAAAATACATGCACCTGCAATACCGGCTGGTCTTCTACCTTCATACATCCAGTCTTTGGACATTCTTTGAGCAAGTTTTACTGCATCCTTAACGACCTTAATCTTCTTGTCACCTAAATCTAATTTTTCAGCAAAATGTTGAATAAATAGGGATGGATCCGCCAAAGGTAAATTTGTAATATGCAATCTTTTAACCATTTTTAAAAAGGTGGCACCGATGGAATAAACACTGACTTGTAATCTTGAAGAAAAATCAATTAACATATGATGGGTTTTCTCCTTACGACATGCAATATACAAACATGAAGCAATGACATTTTGAGATCTACGACCTTGAACAAAGTTTTGATGTAAAGCTAACTTATACCATTGGTGAGCTGCATCTGTGATATATTCAGGAATACCTAATGCATGGGAGACTGCTCTAAGTTTTCTTCTAGCATTATTAATAGTAGTTTCACGAGATTCTAAAGCACTTGAACCACCATGAGAACCAAATGCAGCATGAGCTTGATCTCCACTAATGAAAGAACCTTGTACTACAGCAGCACCAGAACTTGATTCACCAAATGTAACTTCTGAAACAATTGGGTTATCTTCAGACACCATACCACATCCGGTACAGACTAAATCATTGTTGGCATTTGACGTTTCTCTAATGAAGTCAGTACCTTTACAACCTTTACAAACGGTAGCCATTTTTAAAAGAGATTTTCTGTACTATTCAATATTAATAAACTATTTCTATTATGGAATTATCAGCCCTAGTATGTTTAAGTTTAGCAAAACAAATTATTAGAATTAGACAACCTAAAGATACAAATACGTCTAAATAAAATCTGAAGTAGTCGTACTGATATCTAAATTAAATAAAAATGGTATCTGTTATTAAAATATTCGAATTTATCATTATATTAGGAATGTCATCTAATCTTAAACATCATGTCTTAGTAGTAGTTTTATTTAACTTTTTGATTCTTGGTGTAGACAACTACGCGTTACTATTACCCGGATACTAAATAAATAGACAGTAACAAGGATGACGGACCACTATCATATCATAGTAATTAGTTATTTTACTCTCAATATTTGTATCTACATCTATTTGTATCTACATATAATTGTATACTTATATTGGTATAAATTGTTATAAATAATTATTATTTCTTATTCATTTGAATAGCCAACGAAAATTAATGCGGTGAAGTTATTTTAAATTATATAATTATCTAAACAAACATACAGGCATTAGGCTGTAATGTTAAATATCTATTTTACAAGGTCAAAAAACCAAATTTAAAATGGAGAGTAAATTAAAACAAAAATATGAATAAATAAATGAAATAAAACCATTTTCCCTTTGTCCTCTGGTTTGATTAAAGGCATTTGGAGGAAAATTGTGAAAAAATCAATTTATTCATTTCTTCAAACCACTTCTCATATATTTACCGATAACGATACAATGGTCTCTTTCATAAGGTTCTAAGGTTAATTGTTCTAATGGCTTGATACGTTCTTCACGTAATTTTTGGACTTCTCTTGCGAAAACAGTTTCGGCATCGACGGTGGAGTCAATACAGTTAGCTTTAATAGAGATGACGACACCACCTTGATCTTTCAAGAACATGTGAGAGTTCAAAGCAATAATACGGGCTTGATCTGGTTGGGCAACATCTGCAAAGACACAGTCGACCATACCGATCAACATTCTGTATTTTTGAGGATGTCTAGCATCTTCGATGATTGGGATAACATTTGGTCTCTTCTTAGCCATGGAGATCAATTCTCTACCTGGTCTGTGAGAGAATTCTACGGCATATACAACACCTTCTGGACCAACGACATCAGAAACGTGTGAGACAGAGGTACCGGAGGCAGCACCTAAATATAAAACCTTCTTACCAGGGGCGATGAACAATTCATCTAAACCACCCATGATACCGGCGGCCAACTTAGATCTGAAAGGATTCCAAACACGGTATTCAACTTTAGTTGGTGGGACACCATCTTCTTTAGAAGGTTCTTCGACAGAGATTCTTTTTTCACCGTAGACAGATTCACCTGGAGCCATGTTTTTAGTAACTAACAAATCTTCTTTACCTCTGGCGATGAAGACACCATCATGCTTGTGTCCTTCAATGATAACCTTGGCACCACCTCTGGCACCACCTCTGGCACCACCTCTACCACCTCTGCCACCTCTGTCACCACCGAAGCCACCTCTGGAACCACCACGAGGACCACCTCTGCCACCACCGAAGCCACCTCTACCACCTCTTGAGCCACCTCTACCACCTCTGTCACCACCGAAGCCACCTCTGGAACCACCTCTGCCACCACCGAAGCCACCTCTGGAGCCACCTCTACCTCCACCAAAGCCACCTCTGGAACCACCTCTTGAACCACCTCTTGAACCTGGTCTGAAAGACATTATTAACTATTTTAAAAAAAAATTTTCTTTTTTGGTTTGGTCTGCTTGATTGCAAAATGTATAATAAACTAGATGATGCTAGAAATAAAATCAAGCTTTAGTTATACTGCAGGTATGATATATATATATCTTTTCCAATTATCTAATTCTATAATAATCTATTTCTTTCTTGTAAAGAGAGAGATATTAATATTATAATTAAATATGTAATGCGATGAGATGAGGAAAAAAAAAAATAAAAAGAAAAAATGTAAAAAAAATTTTCTTCTCTTTTCAAGTTCTTGTTCTTAGTAGACAAAAATAACTATATCAAACACACTGATTATGGGTGATGATGATAATGAAAGTACAAGTATAAATAAGTCTCTTAATATATAACATGAATTACAGTAAAAATTTATTAAATGCATCTTTAAACTAAATCTATAAACTATGTTATATGAAATGAATTGAAAATAAAATTTTTAAAAATTAATTGAGTTCCATTGAGTTGGGATGAATTGAATTGAATTCAATTCAACTCAATTCAATTCAGCATAGAGATGGTTTAGTATTATTAAACAGTTTTCTCTCTCTCTCCATTTCTCTCTTGCTCTGGTCTTTGTATCCTATCTCATAGCACAGCATTGCTTCTTTACCACTAACTACCATACAAAACTATCATTATTACTATTTTTTTTGTAGGTAATTTAACGTTTTGCCATACAAGACCTGGTACTGAAAAAGAAACGACGAAAAATTTTTTCTTTCGAAATCTTGAAAGTGCGATGTGCAGTGGTTTCTCTGCATTTGGGTTTGTTGTAGTGCTGGAATTTAAATTGTTTTTTTTTCACTTTTTTCTTTTTTTTGTTTTTTGATCTAGAAAAGAAACGAGACAAATTTTTATTTTGCGATGAGATTGGTCACTACATACGCACGATCGATGGCCATCGTTATTTACGTGGGCTGTGCCTTCAAGTCCATTCTGGACAACAAGCAGTACACAATTTATTTTGTCTTGCCTCGTACAGGAATCGAACGGGTGTCGCTTCTAGTGATAACTTTGATCAAAGGTTTCCAACTTTCGAAATCAATCCGAAATGAAAAGCGAACCGAACGAAACCTAAAAGTGGAAATTAATCAGCTTTTAGAAGAGGGTACACACATTCTATTTTCGAAACTGATTAAATGGAACAATTCTTAGTACATAACCAACTTATCTCAATTCGAACTCTCTTATATATAGATTTATATCTGTATGCCTAGATATGATTTGATACAAGAACGAATTTGTTTAAATTTATTTATCTCGATGAATGGCACATATTGAAATGAATAGAAGTGGGGAGTCCTGAATTGCAGTCATGGAGTTTCGGTCTCGGTTTATAATGAGTGTTTTTCATACGTTTCTTAAAATGAGACATGCAATCAATATACTTGCTGCTTGAAATGTAGAACAAAAGGGAACCCAAGAAAAAACAAGTAAATAACTAAAAAAAGAGATAAATCATATTGTTTTACGATTGATCTCTCAATACCGTTCCCCTTCTTCTAAATGATATTCCCTATACCCTTTGGTTTTCTGGCAAAAAAAAAAAAACTTATGCAACAGAAAATTGTAAATTATTAGTTCTTGTAATAAGGATGGGTATTCAAATTAGGATTAACCATCCGACTACTATTCAATTTATCCTAGCACACACCCACTCTAAAGGTTCCCTCTTTACCATCAATCCTCTCTATTTAAAATATTCCATCCCTCCCCACCCTTTCCCCCTCCAAAATATACATAAATAGATACAGAAAGATAGCACTATCTACAAGGTAAATTATTCTTTTACAAATTCGAAATTCGAAAGTAATGAATGAATGGCATTGCTAGATAATTTAAGAAATTTGGCAACCTTAATTAAATCCTTCTTATAATTCTTATATAAGAGTGTCCTTACTTCAAATACACATATTTATCTTGTTTCCTAGTTCACTCTATTATAATCACTTTCTTCATATTTCTCTACAACTTGTATAAATACTCAAGACACACTTGATAGTGATTAAAACCAATTGTATTCAGTGCAAGCCAATTATATTCAGTTTGAGACTACTATAATTGAGTGATATACTTCTGTTTATATTACATTGATCTAAAGGGAGAAAGGAAAAAGTTTCGAAATTGTTGAAAGAATAATAATTTATCGTCGACAGAAAACTTTTTATTCAACACTTATAGTAATTATAAAGAAGCAGAAAAGAGAATACAAAAGAATTATCAATTGTTTAATATTCTCATCATATTTTAATAAAAGTCAAGATAGGAAAGCATTTCATAATTAATTGATTAATACTACTACCATGTCATTAGTTATCAAATCTCGTTCAAAATCTTTAAAAGATACTGAAATCGATTTAACCAAGACTAGCAAAGTTCAAAGCATCTTGGAAATCATCTCATTGAGAAATAAGAATATCAACACTAATAGATTGAGATTGAGTGTTTTGAAGGAATCTAAATATGTCCCAATTTCAACTGATGAAGCTTTGAAAGAAGAAGCTAAAAAGGACGGTGTCACTGAAATTTATGTCAAGGACATTGGTCCTCAAATCTCTTGGAGATTAGTATTCTTAATTGAATACTGTGGTCCAATTTTAATTCATACTTTCTTTTACCATTTATCTACTTTAGAAAATGTTAGAGATAAGGTTCATAGTTCAAGAACTTCTTATGATCCATTCTACAATAAGATCGTTTACTCAATGGTAGTAGCTCACTACGCTAAGAGAGAATTCGAATCTATCTTTGTTCATAAATTCTCCCAACCAACTATGCCTTTCTTCAATTTGTTCAAGAATTCTTTCCACTACTGGGTCTTAAATGGTATGATTGCTTTCAGTTACTTTGGTTACGGTTTCTTATTAAGTGATTCTACTATTCAATCCTTATATGCTAAGTTGGGCTTATCTAACTTATCCCTATTGATTGCTTTGTTCACTGTATCTGAATTATGGAACATGTACATCCACATTAAATTGCGTTTATTCGGTGATGCCCAAAAGAAATTAGGTAACGCTACTAAGCGTGTAGCATTGAATGAAGGTTTCTTCAAGATTTTTGTTGCTCCAAACTATACTTTCGAAGTTTGGTCTTGGATTTGGTTCACATTTGCTGCTAAATTAAACTTCTTTGCCCTATTATTCTTATTCGTTTCAGCCGGTCAAATGTACTTATGGGCTGAAAAGAAGAACAGAAAGTATGGTACTAAGAGAGCTTTCTTAATCCCATTTATTTTCTAATGGCAACATGAACAATTCATTGATGTTTCTTTATAAAGTCTAAACTTATGACGGACTCTCGATTCGGTTCTAAATTCGTCCTTATTTCCTTCATTGACGGGTTACATTTCTTTACCTGTTAAATCTATAACTGAAATTAGGTAAATGTTATTCATTTCAATGCTTGCTATATATTTAATCTATGTAAATGCGAAAAGAATAATTCTATAAGTATTCTTAATTATTTGATTTGATTTGGTTTAGGTTTCTTTAGTTTTAAATATCTTAAAACCTGTTTGCCGATTGACAGAAATGGTGAAGACTTGTAAATTTCATCTTCTTGGTATCATTATTATCCATCATCCATCTCTTCAAATTAGCCGGATATTAATAGAACATCGTTATCTTCAACTCCACTATAATCAGTGTTATTTAGATCATCATCAGTCATCTCACCTTCGGTTGTCTCACCAGCATCTGTTAACTCATAAAAGAATGCACTATGTATTAATTCATCTGCCGAACTACGTTTTTGGGGATCCATTTCAAAGCATTGTTGTAGTAGTTGAAAGCACCAAAAATGATCTGACCAAATTTCTTCCTGATATTTTTTTAATTGATATGCATCCGCTCGACTTTTCATGTCTTCGCCATTTGGTAATTTTGGTTCAATTGAAACTTTGTCATGTAATTCCTGACTTAGATAACAATGAGTTTCAAATGAAATGCTATATTCTGGAAATGTGCCTTCTTCGCATTCTTTATTTAATAGATCATATACGAAACCTTTTAATCCACCTGGGTATCCCTCTTCTTTAATATTCTGTATATTACTAACTTCAAAGCCAAGACCATGGATGTTAGCACATTTTTTTAATTTTTTCCATCCAAATATTGAACATAATTCAAGCAATGAGTCGGTATCATCCAAACTTTGGAACATTGGGAATCTTCTTGATAATAAACTTAGTAATATTACACCAACTGACCAAATATCAATCTTAGTTGTCTGGGCGCCACATTTCATTAACACTTCAGGTGCTCTAAAGCCTCTAGTACCTGCTCTATTTGCCCTTTTCACTCTACGTGTCTCATATTTTGGATAACCCTTTGTAAGATCTATATTATTAAGACCGTTTAAATGTACCACTTTACCATTTTGAATTGTAATCATTGGCCCGGAAACCCCATGTGGAGCAGATAATCCTGCTTCCCTCATGATACATGGACAGAATTGTTCTTGGTGCCTACGTTCTTTAACAGAAATTGTATTGTCATCATTTAATTGACCATTGATCTCGTCCAAATAATTTACTTGCATTTCTGCTAAACCAAAATCAACTAGTACCCCACGACCCAATTCTGGATTATATAAAAAATTTGTCGGTTTTACATCTCTGTGTATGATACCTTTTGAATGTACAAAATTCAAAGCCTGTAATAACTCCCACATATATTTTTTTATACCTTTTATTGGAAGGTCTCTATAGAAATTTCTAAATTCTTCATGTTGGTAATAAGGTAATACTGCTATAACTTGGTCTCGTACCCTAGTAGCATCGCATAATGGTGCTACCCTAATACAACCAGCCAATATATACAGAAGATTTAATTCATTGTATATTCTTTGGGGAGATGACGTAACATAAATTTTTTTCAATGCTACATATTTTGCTTCTGATGACCAAAAATGTGATGCATATTTCTGATAGATCTTACCCTTTAAATCCTTAGCCTTATAAACCGATGAAAAAGTACCCTCACCAATCTTATCAAGAAGTTCATAATCATCTTCCAAAGTTGGAACCTCTTCATACAAACGGCTCATCTCTTCTTGAATCTCTTCTGGAACATTATTTCGTACTGGTTTCACACTCATCCTAACCAAAAAAGTGATTCTATAAAAAAAGTGATTCTATAAAAAAAGGTCTCACCACCACCTTTTTTACAGCTATTGCTATAATCAGTTAAAATTGTATTTCGATAAACAACAACCTTAATACATCAACATTAAATATCAGCTTTTATCATTACCAATCTTAAAAAACATCTTGATCTGATGCTTGTTTTTCAATTTTCGATACTTTGATATTGCAGGACAGGGCTTTTTCCAGCCATAACGAATCATCACGATAATTTAAGCTGCCCTTCGCCAGTAAACCAAGACAAAATGTGATGTTATATGGAAGAGCAAAGAGCCAATAAAGTTTATTAATCATTCATATTTGTAGATATTCTAGATTATTGGTATTATATTGATTTATAGAATTTTTCTTCTTTTATTACAACTATTAAAAAAAATATTTAATATTCTATTATATGCATTTATTTATTTATAAAATAAATTGAGATTAAAATTAAAATTAAAATTAATTGATGCTGCTGAATTGCTGCAAAAATGATTGTTCCTCTTGAGAAAAGGATAGTGATTGAATTTTGTTAGAGTATTTTACTAACAACGTTAAAACATCTTCGGCAAATACACTTGCATCGACATTAGTTGATAGTCCTTTAATTACTTCTTGTAAAGTAATATTTGACATTATAACTTGGTCACCGGTTAAATTTACAATTTTGATGAAACCCATGTATGCACTGCTTTTTTCTTCTAAAGAATCTAAATCTTTAACTGATTTGCACCATTTGTTCCATACTTGTTCATTGGCGAAAACGCCAGATGTAAATACTTCTGGATGTGTTAGTGCCATTCTTCCGATTGTTACCGCAAGGTTTTCTGTAATGGCACTATCAACAACTTGGGTGGTTGTCGTGAATATATCAAGTACAATACGAGACATATCGATAATGAACTCTCTTAAATCGATTCTTTCACTTATCAACCCAAGGGCCCATACGGCATTGACTACTGCAGGTGCCCCATCCATATCATCATTGTGCATTATTTCGGTACCAATTAGTTTCAGAAATTGTGATAAAGTCCCTGCTAGAAGTTGAGGATTGAAATAATATACAATGTCACCTAATAATGCAAAACAACTTTGTCTTACCTCATGCACTGGATCTTGAAGACATTGCACTATAACCTGTAAAATTGTTGTATTTTTACCACTTTCTGGAAATAGTAGGTCTTGTGATTTAGATCCCAGGCCTTGGACTAAACCATCGATCATATCAATCGATGTAATAATAAAGTCCTTTTCTGGTGCTGGAATGGAAGGATCGATTTGTGATTGGGCTTCAAGTTCGACACAATGACAAAGTATTCTATATGCCCTTGAGTAAACATCTTGGGACATTGGCAAAAATTTATCCCCTAAAGATGCGGCTACACATGATAAACATTCTAATAATGGCCACAATTCTTTGTCATTGTCTGGTAATGATGACCATTTATTAATTAAATGTGGTAATATCACTTGCATTGCGGTATCATCGAGTTCGACCTTTTCTGAAAATCTACCAACTGCATCATATAATATGATTAAATTCTTCTTCTTATAGAATTGGAAACATTGATCAAATTTCTGTAATAACTCGGTGTATAATAGTGTTTCGACTAGTTCAGGGTCACAGTTTTCAATAAAAACAGCTGTACTGCTAATAGCCGCTTCTTGAACATCCTTCTTCTTATCTAATAAAGCATTTAAAATATTTTCCAAAACTGGCAATAAAAATTCAGTATGATCAGACAAAATCCAAGTAGAAAATCTGCTTAAGGTCCAACAGGTAATCTTTCTAACAGGAGCCCATTGGTCTTTTAATTGTTCGACTAAAAATGGGATTAAAGTTGGCAATTGATCATCGAAATATTTCATACCACCTTCTGCCATTGCACCTAAAGCTAAAACCGTTGCTTCTCTAATGAACCATTTATCAGAAGTCAAATGTTCTCTCAAGTATGGGAATGCTATATTCAAAACATGTTGTGGGAGCAAATTGGTCAATACATCTAAAGTGGCAGCTGAACATTTTCTCAAATTCCATTCGGTATCTACATCATCACCATCATCCTCTTCATCCTCATCCTCACCGGAACCATCTCTTTTCTTCACAATACGTGGTGCAACTGGTTTAATGTCTTCATCTCTATCCTCTAAATAAGCATCATCTTCATTCGAAGCTTCAAATGTCAAGATTGCATCTTCGTTGTAAACCATTTTGGCCAATAGTACTGGAACGATATCATTAACGTATGGTTGTATAATATGTTCTGGGATATGTGAACTAGTTGCGAAAGCATGCAAAAATTCACAAGCTTCAATAGCAACCTTTTCATCATAAACTGCACCAATAATACGAAGCATGAATTGAATAATACCAGGAAGATGATCAACCAATTTATCAGGTCTAAATTCAAGTAAAGTTGCAAAACAAATACATAGTTGAGCTCTGACTGAATCGTTAGAATCATTTTGGGCAAGTTGAAAGATTATATTTAAGAATTGATCCAATCTAATGATAAAACTTTGTGCCTGTAATGGAATAATTGTATTAATACATTTAACTGTTTCAGATTTTATTACTGCCCCATATTTATCTTCGGAGATAAATTTCAAAAACGTTTCGACCAAAATATCCATAGGCTTAACATTTCCAGACCATTCTAATTCAAAAAATTGCGCACTATCTTCCATAATCTTGGATAGAGCTTTAATACTTGATTCATTGCCACTCGAAGTCAATTCTAATAACTGCGATAACATTTGAATACCTGCTGGGTCATCCCTATGCTGTCTAAAATAGGTAGAAAAGAGAGTTGTAATAACGATACCTGTAACATTATTAACCAAAGAATTGTCTGAATTATATAACCCATGAACAATGTTTGATTTAATGTATTCGATATTATGATCACCTTTAAACAATTTATCTTTTTGAAGCATAGAATTTTTCAATAACATACCAGCAGTAGCTCTATTGTTCTGTAACTCAACAGAAGAAAATGAAGACTTCAAAGATTGATCAATTTCACCTTCAATTAATATATAGCATAAATAATTTAGAAATTCTGGCTGCGATTCAAAAATTTTCAAAGACTCCATTGCATTATTACGTTCATTATGGTCTGGTGACATAGAACTCTTCAGAAGAGTCGCTAATTGCACAACCGAAGTTTCATTTGGCTTCCAACTAGTGCTCATTGCAATCAATAATTAATATATTCACCTCACAATCTTGTATGATACAATTATAACAAATTTCAGTTGACTTAAATCAATGAGATGAGCTTTAAAATTATTGATAAATTTCTTTAAATATCATCGTTATTCTAAATTTGATATCAAGAATTTAATGGTTGTAAGACTTCGTTTATGACGATAATTAGTTGATTGAGCCACGTGATGTGATCTCTCTATATATATCTCTCTCTTTATACATGATGGTAATGAATAGATGGCAATGGATACTAATGACAAGAACTTGTCTTATATATAAAATGATTGTATTGATATATTAAATTAGATGCTAAAATAAATGTAGTAAACTGTAGTTGAAAGAAAGGGGGGAGGCGGGAGTTGTTGGTGATAATTTCCCATTTCTGATAAGTGAAAGAATAATTATAACGACAACCAAGAATAGATGAGCATAAAAGGGCAAAAAAGATGTAAAAGAACCTCTTTGTAATTGTAATAAATAAGATCCATTGGAAATTTAAAATAATTTATTATTCTTGAACAATGTCGTCGATTTGTCTCATTAAGTTGTTCATTTTGTCAAATATCGGATTGTACAATTGTTCAATTAATGGATGTTGGGAGATGCCATCGATGCTTTCTATATTTTTATGGTTTGTTGTGGATGCATTTTTACCAACTGAATGAGTACTACTAATACTCATGCTAGATGGGATTCGTTCAGTTTCCATGTAAAAATCATCAGAAGAGGAATTATGGGCAGAAGTTATGACTTCTGATACTTCTTGCTTTTCTATATTATCAATTGAGTTTGATGAGTCTGAATAATTTGAAGAAATATTCGTGCTTTTTTCTGTAAAATTGGTGACTTCTTCCCCTTCATTTTGTTTCTCATCATCGTCTGTTTTTATATATTTCGCTATTGATTCTTCCACATCCAATTTTTTTGTACTTATTTCCGTTGAAGCATTACTGATATGAACAATAGTCTCCTCTGTTTTACTCTCTAGAGTAGTCGTAAGGTCGGTGTTAGATTTTACTAGTTTCGATATATCTTGGATAGCTCTAGATGATGGTAAAGATGTATTTTCCGGTTCGAATTCTTGGTCTTGCATTTGTGGTGAATCATTGGTGAACTCTGAAGATGAAGGGGAAAATTCTCCAATTGTAGAGATAGAATAATCTGAATTTGAATTTTGTAATTTGGTTGAAGTGTTAGTGGCGCCAAATGGTGGCACTGGAGCTTCAAATATCTTCTGTACGTTATCTTCAATCGCTATGTTGGCATCAGTATCTTCTATGGAAACACTGACAGGAGTCGAAGTCGTAAGTACTATAGTTGCATCTGAAGTATCAGGTGAGGCAGGAGGGGTAGGATGTTTCTCTTTTGAATCTTCATTTGTGGTTGATCGAGATTGTCTCACTTTCTTAACGTTCAATGGCTTTAATGAATCGATTGCAAATGAAACATCGCTAACAACCTCACTTACATCATCATTATTCATTTCGACCTCGGTAAACTCATCGTACAATTTGAACGAAACTTCAGAATCATCAGATTCTGTTACAAATCTATCTGCATACGTTATCACATCACTGAAACTCACCGATTTGTTTGTCTTATTATAGTCTTTTAAATTATAGTCTTTATTTGAATCGCCATCACCGGCATCATTTTCTTCTGTTGGTGCATCATTGGTGGTACTTGAAGATTCTTGTTCATTAGCCGAATTGATTTTAAGAATATTCTCAGACCTACTATTCAAAGATTGATTTGACATATTTTCGTTTTTCCAACAGTTTAATCTTGCTAATCTCTCTGGGAATGTTTCTAGAATTTCAGCAGGAGCAAACCCGATTTTATTATTACGGCATTTTTTAACCAACCACCAATAAGAATCTTGATCATTTAATAATATACATGCTTCATCTTGTTCTAACTTACAATGTGAAGGATCTGGACCATCAAATGCGTATAGTGCATAAACTTTTTCTGGATCCAATTCTTTTGGTGGCGGTAACTGCTGATAACTGTCGTCATCTTCTAGTTCATCTTCTTCATCTTCCTCAAGGTCGTCATCATCATCTATTCCTTTATCATCCTTTTGAACTTGTTCCTGTTCTTGTTCCTCATCTGTATTGCCATAATCCGAAGAGTCATCTTTAATATTTGGAGGTGTTCTATTAATAGTATTATCTTCGACGTTCATATTTTTTAATCGTTCTTCTAGGTTATCTTCGAAGTCAGAGTCTGAATAGTCATAAGCGTTTGATAATCCTATCGATTCGTCATCGTTATTAATATGGGAGTTTGAATTTGAATTTGAATTTGAATTTGAAGTTGAATTTGAGTTTAAGTGCGACTTTGATAATGGATGATTCGAATCCTTTTCAGCGATCAGATCGTTTAATAACTTTAATGGAGATCCTAGATTGCTTGTAGGTGTCAATATAACACTACCGCTATTACTGATATCATCTGAATTGCTACTTCCACTATTAGGATCGTTATTAAGCGAAGGTCTTTGAAATTTCATTTCATCAACTAAATCTGGATCATTTAGTAGATCATTATTGATAGAAACTGTTAGATTGTTGATTGAACTTAAGGAGCCGTTGCCGTTGTTTCCTATGCCTGAGAACCCTTTGATACCGTTGAGTCCTTCCATTATATGGTATATGAGCTATAGCTTTGAAAATACAAAATATAGAAAAAATGGAATGAAGTCAAATAAAATGCAAAGTAAGTGGTTTGATGATTCTTTTCTAATATAACAATAATTGTAACTGAGGACACCACAACAGGTTTCTCGAATATTATAATACTTGATAATTATAGTATAAAATGTAATGACCAGTATTATTAGAGATAGAGAAGGTCAAAAAGATAAAAAAAAGAACACTTATAAAAGAGAGTCAAATAAATACCATGGAATCAAATAAACTCTATCAACAAAAGATCAGAAGTTATAGTACTTAGAATAGCTTGACTGTGTCCTAAATAAAACCGTTATTCCTATTCTATTCTAGTTTTCTGTATTCTTTCTCTTACTTGTCAAGTAAAAACAAACGCTAAAGATAGAATTAAAAACCTTTTAAGAGTACCCTTCTCTTGTAGCCAAATGACCAAATCAACGCAGTAAAGAGAACAGAATACCAATCACAATATATATAATATTATATGTATGTATCTGTGATAAAAAAAACGTATGTGTATGTGTATTAAGTAGTATCGATCAGCACCTGCAAAGAGTTAATAATTAAAACTCATCTTTAAATTTAAACTGAGCTGAGTTTTTTTTCACTTTATTTATCTTTGAATCAAAAATATTGAAATTTAAAACTGGGCTGGTCTGCGCTGGACAAAACGATTAAAACTGATGAAGTCATATTGCGAAACAAAGTGATGTGATGATAGATGGAGGAGGAAGGGGAGGGAAGGCGGGACAGGGAAGGGCCTTCTGAGGTAGCTAACAGAGAAAGACCCTTGCATTTGTAAATGTATGTCGTATATGTTTGATTATGTTAGCCATAGTGTAGTGAATAGTTGATTAATGCGATGAAGAATGGAATCGCATTCTTCAGTGACTGGACTTGAATTGACTTGGCTTCGTTATTGTTATTAGAAATGGTATGAATGGACATGATAGTGGAAGGTTGGAGGACAAATAAACCCAAAAAGATGGTGGTCTTATAAATGAGAAGCCAGGAGATTTTTGAGTGTTAACTTTATTGATTTCTTGCCTGTTTCTTTAGTTTTAAGTTTTAGGAATTGAATATAGTTTGATAATTACATTCTTCTAACCACCATTGAATGCTCTCTGGAGAGTTTTCTCTTTGTAATTGTTCGACATTTGTATTCAAATAATTTGATAATTCATTTAACTGTGAATTATTTAGTGTCATGTCTTTATCTTGTGATGAAGATGATAATGATTCTTCTGTATTGTAAATATTTTTAATTGTTTCAAAAATATTTACATCTACTTGTGGTGACACTTGTTCATCTTGTGTTTCATTGGGTTCTTTCCAAATTATTGAATCCTTCATTTCCTCCAAGATATATGATCTATCCATTAATTCTTCTTCTGTTAATTTTTTCATTGTTATTGACATTCTACCATCTTTATCATAAGTTGCAATCATTTGGTGTGTGCCCATATCCTTTGCTGTTAAATTCTTTGGATTATCATTAGAAATATAATTCTCACTGTTATTTTGAATTTGATTTTGATTTTGATTTTGATTTTGATTTTGATTTTGAAGTTGGATTTGACTTTGACTTTGTTCTTCTATTGCATTTGTTTCATTGGGCGTATACATAGTTTCATCAATTGAAGTTGAACTCATTTTTTCACTTGTCTCACTCATTGCCAATGGCGGTTTTGAATACTCGATTTCTACGATTTTAGTATTGCTGATTTTTCTTCTAGTTCCATTATTAGTTGAAGCCTGTAATTTTAGAGACTCTTTGATATATTTTTCCTTTAGCAATTCAAAACTCTTATTACTTGCTGTTATAATATTGCTTTTGTTATTGCTGTTGCTGCTGCTGTTGTTCTCGTTGTTATTGCCATTGCTGCTGCTATTGTTCATTCTGACAATAGATTTACTTTCATCAATTTCCAATTGTGCCAACAATTCAGCGACACCATTACCACATCCCCTCTCATCCCTTTCGATCTCAGCTTCAGCCTCAGCTAGAGCTTCAGCAACTTGCTCCGTGGTCAATTTATGGCATAGTCGATTGATATATCTTTTCACTTTAGTAATTAGTTTCTTTCTGGAATTATACTCCAATGTCTTTGTCATTGCCCACAGTCTTTGGAAAACTTTAAATAACAGCCATTCAATATTGGCAAACACTCTATAGATCAAAGTAGTTTGTATGTAAAGAACAATCTTTTTAAACAGATTTCTTTCTGTGTCATCAATATTAACGTCACAATTAGTACATTTCTGTTGTTTTATAGCACTATTGAAGTCAATAGATTCGACCATTGGTATCAAAACAGCCACTAAACCTTCTCTGCAGTATATAGGTACTTATATATTTATATATTTATATATTTATATATTTATATAGGTATATATTTATATTAGGTATGTATATAAGTTGTGTAGTTTTTTATATATTGCCTGATCCAGTGACCCAGATCTGGTACAATTTGTAATCTATATTATACAGCTACTTATGAATAGGCGTAAATGTGTATAAAATATATAGAAGATTGGAGGAACTGATCGCTAGAATCAAACCAAAACTTGACCAACACAGTTCTCTCCCACAGTCGAGGTATAATTCCCAAAATCCTTATACTCTGAAGGATGAACTTTTTATCATAAAAATTGATCAACCTTGTATCGATGACATAAAAACCTTTAAAAAAGCACTTGTGTCTGTCTGTCTTGCGTCTAATCCACACAATCTTTATATACGTATGGCCTTGAATGCAGCTTCTATTCCACTATACATTCTACTGTCTCAGGTCAAGACTTGTTTCAAGATAAACAATCTTTATAGTAATAACTTTTAATCTTTTATATCGTTGTTATTCTTATTGTTGTTGTGTCAGTTGGAGGATTCTTGATGGCAATTCCAAATTTGATGTCACATTTTAAGGGAACCTGTCCATGTGAATTTTCAGTCATGTGACCATACTGTCATGTGATCACGTTGTCATGTGATCTGGATTACCCTCCCTCTGGATATTTTTTTTTGCCCAAATTTGGATCGAAAGGATGGGAATAAGAACAAACCACGAATTTGAAAAGCTTAAATGGTAGTAAATAGTGAAACATTGACATGATCATGAACAAATAAATGTATAAAATATATAAAATATATAAAGTTAGCTTACTTTAGTGGAATCAGCTGTAGTTTGTATTAGGATTACTTTGATTGGTGGTAAGAGAGAGAGAGTGTGTGTGTGTGTGTGTTTGTTTAGATTCAATTTTGGATTCCTTTTTATTTATTCTCTTGCAAAAATGGCTACAAAATCAATTAATTTAGGTGGTGGCACCGGTGGTAAGAACAAGTTGGTGGAATGTTTTGAGGATATTTTGGAGGTCTCGTCACAGATGTTGGTGCAACAGCAGTTGAAGTCTATCCAGTTGGATAATTCTGTGATTAGTGGGTTTAATCAAGGCCAACAAAAGGTTTTATTAGAAAAAGTTACTTTGTTTCATTCGATATTGGATGATTTGGAAATTACTTTGAATAAAGGTAAAAATTATGTCGACGAGTTGACCAAGATTGGTAAGGATAAAGAAGAAGAGAGAGAAAGGGTTAGAAGAGCTGAGGAAGAGAAAAAAAGACTGCTGGAGGAAGAAGAGAAGAAAAGATTGTTGGAAGAGGAAGAGAAAAAGAGATTACAATTGGAAAAGGAGAAACGAGAAGAAGAAGAATTGAAAAAGAAGAAGAAATTAGAGGAAGAACAAGAACTAGAATTGGAGAAATTGAAAGAACAGCAACAGCAACAGCAAGCTGAAAAAGATAAGTCAAATGAGGAAAACAATAGTAATAACCTAACGTCGCCAACTTTCTTCCTAGATACACCAACTGATCTAGTGACAGATATCACAGGGAGTAATAAATCAGCACAGACTCCACAACAAGTTGAGTCTAATCTAGTGACTGCCGCCACAAGTGCTTCCCTCGATAACCAATCTCCAAATCTAAATAAATTGGATTCGTCATCTAATAAAGATAAACAGGTCAATAATGATCAACAGAGCGAGAATAATAATCAAACATTGACTACCTCTGCATTTGATGATCCGAATAGTTTAGATATATCGATGTTCCCTGGTCTAGACGGCGGTGCTTTCGATCTAGGTAGCTTTGGTGCATCAGACATGAATTCACTTTCTAATAATTTATCTACAGGTAGTAATAATGCTAATAATGATTCAAATAACTTGAGTTTGTTGGCAAGCAATGAAAATCAAAGCAGTACTAATAATAATAGTGATACAAATAATAACAACAATAACAACAATGAATCAAGTGTTCCAGTAAATACGGATGATTATTTAACTTTGAACGATTTCAATGATTTGAATATCGATTGGAACACAACAGGTGATCCAGGTGATTTGGACTTGAATGGATTCAATTTGTGATAAGGTTAAAACTTAAAAACACAAAAGAATAAAGATGAAAAAACAACATGATACTTACTATAACGACCTATATAAAATTAATGATTTATATTTCCTTAAGAAAACATTATTTCCATTACCTTCCTTTGGTGATAGATAGACATAATTATGTAATTAAAGTTTTAATAATAAGAATATATATATATATTTAATGTTATTTTACATTTACAACTATGCTGGTAATCATTTGAACCATATAATTATTTATTCTGTCTTCTTCTTTCTTCCTTTATTTGTTATTTATTTATTTACGTAAATAGAAATGCAAGTATATCATGTCATCTATAATGATACAACCATAACTGTGACATTATCAGTGGTACCGTTCTCTAAAGCGTAACGCACTAAAGTTTTGGCTGCTTCATTAGGATCATCGATATTGCTAATCAGTTCGCAAGCTTCTTGATCGTCAATAACATCCCATAAACCATCACATGCAATAATTAAGAATTGATCTTCTTCAATGATTTCAACACTTGTAGTAAAAGGGTTACCTACTACTAAACTATCAAAAAATTTATCACCAAGAGATCTCGTTACCGCTAGCATACCATTAACTCGGCTCTTCATAATTAAACCCCCTTCCTTCTCTATTCTTTCCATTTCTAACGCATCAGATGCCTTGTGATCATAAGTCAGTCTTATAGCTTGTCCATTTCTAAATAATATAATTCTTGAATCACCAACATTGGCTGTATATAACTTTCTTCTATGTTCTTTTAAGTCCATTACGTCTTCAGGTGTGCCTTCTGGAACATCATCTGGCAATTCCCAACGCAAAACACACACAGCAGCAGTACAACCACTGCTACCTGGTAATGTCGTTATGATTTCTCTGTCTGCTGTGACAAACGAATCGTTTAGAATGTCTCTTATATCTCTAGTTTCATCATTCAATATTTGAGATTCCACTATAGTATGTAGGTGGGATCCACACCACTTTGATGCTTGATTCCCTGCATGGCCATCAAATACTGCAAAATAACCCCAATCTAATCTTGATGCAAAATTTTTAACATATGTGTGAACATCTTCCATTGTTCTACGAAATTTGGAATTTTTATTTTCAGCAACGCCAACTTTATAGGATAATTCATATTCTAATGAATTGTCCTCATTTTTGGTATCGCTCATGATTTGTAATATAATTAATGCAATTATTTCAAACTGTCCCCTATCTAAATTATTTTTCCAATTTTTATTTGAATTTGTTTTTTTTTGTCCTCACTAGTTAATTTTCTTCTGAGGTCTCTCGCAGTGATATTCAGTTCTCACTATTAATTCAAATTGTATATGCTATTTTAAAGGTTATACTGATACAACCACTCAGTTCTTGCCTTTTTCTGTTTGATTTGTAACTTGATTTCGACAAACAGTTAAAATAGATCAAATTGAATATAACCCTAATTTATAAACTACTGTACCTTCAAATATATTTCCTAACCTAGAATCCCAACTAATACGAACAGAAAATAAATTTCAAATGCGTAGAATAGGTATCGATGTAATTAAATTTCCCAATAACAATCAGTCAATGTAAAATCAGAACTATTATTATCTGGATCAAATCTTTTATAATTCTTTTCACTAAAAAATATCCTAAAATTATCAGCAATTTTCACAGTATTATCAAATGCTTTCCTTTTTTTTATATATATAAATATAATGTATTTCACTTTATGCTTCTATATTTTCCAAATAATTGTCCCAAAATAATTTGAAAAATTTCAATCAATTTACTAATGTTCCATATCAATTGGAATTCTGAATCTAAGCAACGTTCAATAAAAAAAAATAACCAACAATATTATCAATATCTATAAATGTTTCATTGTATTACATCTTTAAATCACTTTTACTCATTGATTTATATTTTCCATAAATTGCAATAAATGTCAAATTACCTAAACAGTTTGATTTTCGTTTATAATGATTGGCATGGTACGTGTTTTGGGATGTCACGTGAAGGCGTTGATAAATTCAATTGGGGGAGGAGGGGGACTAAAAAGAAGAGATGACAGTAAGTCAAGGTCAAAAGTAGGTGAACTAACCTGGTTTCTGATAAATATGATGGCGGCAGCAATATCAGTTGGCTATAATTCCAACATGTCGCTCTATTTTCTTTTTATAAAAACAAGAACTTGGTTCAATTGGTAATAGTAATTATGAGAAAAAATTTATATTGTTTGTAAAACAGGAGATTTATGTAAATATAAATTGATATAGTATAATGATATAGGCTTTTGATTCAAATCATTATTAATTATTTATGTTTCTTTTCTATTTATTTTGTGTTCATGACCTATAAGTATAAACCTTCCAGGTTTTCTTCGACCTTGTTCTTCAAGACACGTTCTTTACCTTGTTTGAAATCTTCTGCGGTGACTTGCATTCTTCTTTCTCTCAATGCTAGTAAACCAGCTTCTGTACACATAGCTTGGATATCAGCACCTGACAGGTCATCTTTTGAAGTCACTAATTGTTCTAGATTAACATCTTCGCTCAAATTCATTTTCGATGTATGTATGGTTAAAATTTTTCTCTTTGTTTGTAGATCAGGTTGTTCGAATAGAATCTTACGATCAATTCTACCTGGTCTAATTAATGCAGGATCTAAACTTTCGATTTTATTTGTTGCCATTATAACTTTAACATCACCTCTATCATCAAAACCATCCAATTGGTTTAATAATTCTAACATAGTTCTTTGGATTTCTCTTTCACCACCACTATTTGAATCATATCTTTTTGTACCGATAGCATCGATTTCATCAATGAAAACGATACTTGGTGCATTTTCAGCCGCCACTTTAAAAATCTGTCTACACAATCTTGGACCGTCACCGAGATATTTTTGTATTAATTCAGAACCTACGATTCTCAAGAATGTGGCCGATGTTTGATTAGCAACTGCTTTTGCCAATAATGTCTTACCAGTACCTGGGGCACCATATAATATAACACCTTTAGGTGGTTTTATACCCATTTCTTCATATAATTCTGGATGTGTTAATGGTAATTCTACGGCTTCCTTAATTTCTTGGATCTGTGATTCCAAACCACCAATATCACTATACGACTCAGTTGGAGACTTGTCCATTTTCATTACAGAAACCATTGGATCGGCATCATCTTGTAGAACACCCACAATAGACATAGTTTTATGATGTAAAAGGACAGAACAGCCAGGCTCTAATAATTCTTTATCCACAAAGGATAATATAGATACGTAATAATCCGGCATAGTTGGACTGGTTACAATAGCATGGTCATCATCAATGATTTCTTCTAAAGTACCTATACTTAATGGGTTACCTCTAATTTCAGCTAATTGTTTCTTCTCTTCTTCTTGTTTTTTCTCGAACGGTTTCAAAATTTCAGAATTAGTGACAAACTCCTCTTCTAACAACAAATGATCTTTAATTCTTTCCATTCTTAATAACTTCAATTTACATCTAGTATTTGGATAAATGTTTGGTAATTTCTCAGCTGTGGAAGGACCATGCTTTCTCTTTTTCCTACCAAACTTTGACTGAACAGGAGGTTCATACTTGGGCTTTTGGTTCCCATCCTTCTTCTTCTTTTTATCTTGACCAGAAGATACACCTTGACCCATATTTTAATAGAATTATTTATGCAAAAAAGTTATCAGTGCTTGTTATCAAAGTAATCCAAAATAAAATTAAGATTAAAAAAGGCACAATTTTGAAAATAAAGTAACTTTACAGACAAACCAATATATTGCTATATGACAAAACCAGATACGTTGGTGTGGTATTTGCAATTGGCAATGATTATATATACTGCTTTCAATTGCTAAACAACCTATTTATTGTACATTTTTATTTGCCACCCATTCAAATAAGCTATAAAATCAAACTAAATAACTTAATTTTAAAGCTCAGTTTCTAAAATTTCTGAATCTTTTTTGATTTTTAAAAAAAAAGTTGATGTTTCTGCGTATGTTTCTGAGTAGGATGGAGAGATGAAAAGGGACGTCTCTCTCTCTCTAGTATATTAGTAGTACACGGCAGGAAAAAAATTAATATTATATGAAAAAGAAAATTCGACAACTGCAGGACTCGAACCTGCGCGGGCAGAGCCCAAAAGATTTCTAATCTTTCGCCTTAACCACTCGGCCAAGTTGCCACTTTAACTTATAGAAGTTTTTAGTGATTATTAATTCATGTTGCCATCGTCTAAATGCTAAAATCACATGACAAAACAACCTAATGTCACATGGTTTCAACGTGCTTAGAACGTGACTCTATGAATGGCACTAAAATAATTAGAAGTTAGCTCGACAACTCTGACAGACTGGTTCTGTAACTTTAACCTGAGTACTCTAGGATAAAGTGTAGGTATCGATTAATGTTGTGACCTAAGTTATAAAGAATACATCTATAGGTTCCTAGAATATTGTTATCACCTGGAGGTATAGTATTTGTTTTATTTGGCCCTGAAATAAATACTTTAAACTATTACTTAGTTGTAGGTTTAATTGGTATACGTTAGAATGAAGGTTTTTAGGCGTTTATTCTATAGGATCTTAAGGGTTGAGATCTGTAAGTTAAAGTAAATATCCTGTTAATAATAATGTAGTTCTATATTCTTTTATGTACAAATTAAGATACTAAATATTATACAATAATATACAATAATTTACAATGATCTCTTTAAATGTCAATGTTAATAGTATGGAACAACATTCTTGTAATGACACACATGTCTTTACTGTCAAGGTTCGTATGAAGTAACCTCGAAGTAGTCTGGAAATAATACATATTTGTTGCCCTAACAATATTCAAATATTCAACTGAAGATTACGAAGATGTTGATAGTATCGGGAAATGGTCTTCCGATGGCAATTACTATAAATACCATAATAAACAGCAATTGTTCGACCGTCACTGGCGAAGTCGATCATTGAAGTAATTTGGCTCTCTTGTATACGGAATAAATTGATACATATACTTTGTACGAAATGCAAGTGACAGCGACAGAATCTTTACCCTCTACTATCCAGGTGAAAGTCACAACAAGGAGAGATAGGGCTTGATGGTGTTGTAACCTAAAATGTATGGTTTACACTAATGGGTTTCACGGTTATGGCATTAAAGGTTATGGGGCAGTAACGGTTATGGCATTAAAGGTTATGGGGCAGTAAAGGTTATGGCAGTAAAGGTTATGGCAGTAAAGGTTATGACAGTAAAGTCTTGTAACCTAAAATGTATGGTTCACACTAATGGGTTTCAAGGTTATGGCAATAAAGGATATGGCAGTAAAGGTTATGACAGTAAAGGTTATGACACGTTGCAATTGTTCGATCGCAAATGTCATACTCGACCTTCTAAGTAATTGCCAAATCATATCATAAGAAGTGAAGTGCAAAGGCATCATTATTTATTATCATAAATAAATAATATTAAGATTATGAGATTGGATCTAAACATATAAAAAGGCATGACATTTTGGCACATCTAAAATATTGTTTATTCCAAATATTAATATATATTTATTTAGTTACATTTATAAGACACTACGGAGAAATAAATATAAATATTATATTAAAAACATCTTGTATCAATCACCAAAATGAATCAATCAGATATTACTTTTACATCTGAACAGATGGTTATGACAAATTGCAATTCCACTGTCTTCCTAACTGGGTGGCCATAGTTGCTCAGAGACTGGGTAAAATTAGTTCAAATTAGTGTTGTGACTTTAACCTGGATACTCGAGGATAAAGTTTATGTCACTATTGCTGTTTTTCGTACAAGGT